TCGTGTTCAACTCGTTTATGCTCGATTAAGCTCGTTCGAGCTCGCTTGTCTTATTATTTAAAATTTATATATAAATTGTAAAGAAAATTTAAATTATTTTATTTATATATTTTAAATTAATATTTTATTTATTTATAAATTATAATTTTATATGTGTATATAATATTTATAATAAATATATTATTTAAACGAACGTTCGCGAACAAAGCTCGGGCTCGTTCGTTAACCAAGCGAGTTTGTTTATGTTGTTCGGCTCGGCTCGTTAACGTTTGCGAACGAGCTTTAACCGAGCCTAGTTCACGAACGACTTAGTTCGTTTAAGAGCTCTATCCACCCACATGTTGCCAATAATGATTTAAGAAAAAACTTTCAAGTTACGTGATTATTAATATCATAAGATCGTACATTTACTTTCACAATAAAGTTGTTGGATAATATATACATTTAATTATTTAATATTCAATATATTATTTTAAAAAAATAAAAAATAAAATCTCGTGATGTGATTATTATATTTATTTGCATTAAAAGTCTAAACAAGGGATGTATAAACATTAATCAAATCAAACTTAACCTTAAACAATCCTAATTTGTTCAACCCTGTCGTGCTCTACCTAAAATTCAGTCAAATTCAATTAAGATTAAATAATTATATGCTTAAATGAACATATTAATGAATTTATTTTAAAAATTAAGTAAATTAAATGAAAACATTAATTAAGACAGTACAATGTGTTTAGTTGTAATTTCAAATGCAAATCATCGTTGTTAAATTTTTAATAAAAATATATATTTCTTAATAAAATATTATATCAAACTATTGCTTAAATAAAAATAAATAAAATTAACACTAATTTCGAATTAATTTTAAACTACAACCAAACAAAAAAATAAAATAAAATTTGTAAACCATATACCAATAAAATATATATTGAAGCAAATAAATCAAAATAGCCTATTTAAATCCAGTACCAAAATTGGAGTGTTTATTTATTTATTATTTTATTATTTTAAGAACCGGAGTAGTTATATGTAGGAAGCATGAGGCCCGTTTAAGAAGGTAAAATGGGCCCAGTAACAGGCTATGACCGGAATTTACGAGGCCCATTTTAGATTGAACATGGGCTTGAATATTTTTATTAAAAAAAATTATAAATTAATTTTCAACATTAAAATCAATTAGTAGTATTGAGTAAATGAGCCCAATAATGTGGTTTGGGTTAAAGACATAGGTCATTACCCCATTTAAAAATAAGATTGGACTTATTGATTGGCAATGATTTTAGATTTGGATAACTCTTATTTTGCGTTTATTTATTTATTTTTAAATAGTATGTAATATTTTATGAAAAAAAATTACAAGTATTGTATAATAAATAATTTATTAAATAAAAAGAAACTTAAAGTAAATGAAAATATATGGCTCAAATACAGTCAACTTAATTGGAATTAGATGAAATTACTTATGTATATGTATATATTGTTGTAAATAATATTGTAATTTGAAATTAATTTAAAATACGGTGATTTAAATTATTTTGTTTAAATCGAATTTTAATATGATATTTTGTGGAAAAAGATTAATATATTTTTATAAAAAATAATGAGTAAATGATGATTTCAAATTGAAATCACAAAAAATAAAGAAAAAAAATAAAAAATTGATAAAGTATATTACAAGAACAACCTCAACATGCATGAGTGTTATTTCAAAGTTTGTTTTTATATTTGAATAATAATTTGAATCTAATATTTTGTAAACTAAATAATATAATTTTATAAAAATCATGAACATTATATAGTTAAAAAAAAAAAAAGAAAAATAGAGTGTCAATTTGTAAGAAAAAAACATATGGAATCGAAAGCCAAGTTCTCGTTCACAACATTGCAACAACTAAGCTTAGTGAAATTTTGCCGAACTTGTAGTCATAGTTAGTCAAAAAGTGCCCAAAATTAAAATAAATAAATAAATAAATTGACAATGATATTATAAAAAATCTCTATGTTATAATAATTATCACCAATTCAGAATAAATCATGGGACCAAATGTGTCCAAATATATATATATATATATTAGTCAACTCCTCTCTCAATCTACAAAGAATAGTTATGTAAGATGGTAAGAATTTACATCTAATAAGAAATATTTATTCAAATATATATTTTGATAATTTTATGTAACATAATAAGATTTTTTATTAATAATATAGGGTTCATATATATATATATATATATCTACGAGTTAAATAAAGAAAAAACGTCCATTATTTTGTGAATATGTTAAATAATATATATAGGAGATGATATATAGAGGATTTTATTCAAGAAAAAATGGCATGGTTAAATGGTGGATAATAATATAATTCAAATCGTTTACAATTGAAGGATATTATTTTAGAATTACATACAAAAATTGTTAAATTAATTGACTTGGCTATTCATTACTTATTTTTAGGTTAAAATTCTTATGACTTTCTATAAAAGCAAAATGTATTTTACCTTATAAAATATCACAAATCACCAACACACCTAAAATATACTCTCTCCGTCCCAAACGAGACGTCTTATTGAACGTTGGCATAGAAATTAAGGAATAATAATATTTAATTGAAAGTAGGTATAAGGTAGAATATAAAAGACTAAATTACATTTACTTTTTGAATGATTTTAAAAAATAGGTTAGGTAATAATTAGGGGTAGTTTGAAAAAGTAAAGATAATTTGTTATATAGTGGGAACCACGGTTAATAAATAAAGAAACGAGACAATTGTTTTGAGACATACCAAAATGAAAAAATAAAACAACTCTTTTGGGACGAAGGGAGGGAAGTATAATATTAAAGTAGTTTGATTTGTAATTTTTTTTTTTAATCTAAATAATATTTTAAAATATAAAAGAATATATTGTAATTGAAAACGATGCAAACTAAAGAATATTATTTTTTATTCTAAATATATAAAATATAAAAAAAAAAAAAAAAAAAAACCCAAACGCACCCTAATTCATGTTCGGAACAAAATGTATTGTACAATGTTAATTACTTACCTATTTGAAAGATATATACTATAAAATACTTCCTCGTCTCAGATATCATGTCCATGTTGCCGTTTCTGTCCGTCTCACATACCATGTCATTTTTTTTTTTGAAAAATGATTACACACTTTAATTTCATTTTAATTTTTTTAATTTTATTTTTTTAAAATTTTATTTAAACTAATTAGTTATCCTAATCTTAATTTATAATTATTGATATTATAGGATAATCATTTTTACTAATATATTTTTAATTATCTACTAATTACATCCCTTCTAAAATACCGTGTCTATAACGTAGCAGACACGACGGAGGAAGTAATAAATAATAAAATAATTGAATCAAAAACAAAATACAATACACCCATAAATAAATTGAAACAGCACTGTTCCTAAATTAAATTGTTACAATTAATTATCCACTAGTTTATACAACAAGTCCAAAGTCAAATGTTGCAACCAAGTCAACAAAATCCATCCAAGTCAACGCCCAGAGTTGTGTTTGACAATGCTTCCTTCATTGTTCATTTCATGGCCACTATTAATTATTAAATTATTAATTAATGCAAACCCAATTTTATTTATTTTCCCCCTACCCATCAATAAATTCACTATTGCATTATTGAATTAATTTAATTTAATTTAATTTATTCTTGAATATTCTGCAGAGATATTTAAATTCCAATAAATGCTTTTCAAAACAAGTTTACTAATTATACATTTCCATTTTAGGATATAAATAGATTTGTTATGCATTATAATTGAGTTTACTATAAACATTTAAATTAAGAAATAAATATGAATCATCAAAATTGTTATTAGAGTAATTGTATAATTTAAATAGTTATGGTATATGAAAATTTATTATTGCATACTCAACAATTTTTATATGCATAAAAAAGTTCAAAAGATATATTCAATTTGTATTTGTATTCTGTATTTAAATAGTGGTGGGATGCAATCACGACAAAATAAATAAATAAATATATTTGTAACGAAATTTCGTGCCTAAAACGTAGCTAACGTAATTCTATTTCTAATTCCGTCTCTAATATCATTATTAACGGAAAAAGTAAATTTAGGAAAAAAAAAAAAAAAACTCATTACAAAATTGATAATTTCATGATCTCTTGGCATGGGTATTTTATAATTAAACAAATTAATTTATCCTATTTAACCAACAATTGTTAAATTAATATTTTCAGCAATGAATATTTTAATTAAATAAGAACTTGATAAAATTAGGGTGAGCATTGGTCGGTTCAATCGAAAAAATCAATTTTTTTTTTTATTCGAACTGTTTGGTTTGGATTGTTCGGTTAACTGGTTGGGTTCGGTCCAAAATCGAATTTATAAATCTCCGTTTCGGTCCGATTATGGTTTTCAATTTTTAATTCTGATAATCGAAAAAACTGAACTTTTAAAAAATAAAAATTTATATATTAATAAATAATATATATTATAATTTTGAGTATTTTACTACAAGAAAAAATCATTTTTGTAACAAAATTTTTTTTTGTCTCTAAATCTACTTTTTCCGTTACTAATGACATTAAAGACGGAATTATGAATGGAATTACGTTAGCTACGTAAACTTTAGGGACGGAATTCCGCTACAAATATATTATTTTTTTGTAGTGTTTTTATTTGATTGTATATTAAAAATATATGTTAATAAATAAAAGTTCGGTTTCTTCAATTTTAAATCGAACCAAACCGAACTAGTTCGGTTTGTTTGGTTTTAAAAAACTTTGGTTCGATTTCGATTTTAATTTTTATAAACCGAAAACTTATCAAAATTGAAAATTCAGTTCGATTCAGACCGAAGCAACGGAATGCACACCCTAGATAAAAACCATCACCACCAAAGTATCATTGCTAATTTTAGAAAAGGAAAATAAAATATACTATAAGATGTGTGTTTTGTATGTAAACTTTAAAATTTATTTTAATGAGAAATAATTTGAAATTAATTATATGGATAAAGACTTTAATACTGTATTATAAACAACATTTATACATATGCTATATTTTCATCTATATATTTTAGATTATAAATTATATAGTTCAAAAATAAGATGGATAACAAGGTAGCACAAACCTGAAAAAAAAAAATAAAAAATTAATAAATAAATAAAAATTAATAATAATAATAATAAAATAAAATAATTAAAAAATTAATTGAGTAAGTGTGAAGGAAGTGGACCCCATATTGGGTTGATATAAATTAAAGTGGTCCAATAAAGTGGGCACAAATGGGCTTTGGCCCATTTACATTTAATTGCCTGTCATTTCCAAATCCAGCTCTCTTCCAATCTTTATCTTCTATTTTTGTCTCTCAGATACATATATATATATATATATAATAAAATATTCATTTTCACTTGTAAATATCCAAACACAAATCATTAGGCATGCAAGATTTCCACCATACTACATTCTATTTTTATAAAGAAATTATTTTTAGCATAATAATTTTTTATGACTTCTGGGCTTCCTGTCTGCTGTTTAGGGTGTTTTTCTGACTACACTCAGAATACATACATAGACTAGAAGACCAAATCCAGAAATTTCCTCACTAAATTAATATTAATATTAATAAAAAAAAATTACCTAAAAATAGGTTTTGAGTCAAGTGCATCAATTTGGTACTTTAATTTGAGATAATCCATTGGTTATAAGATGAATAGGTTTGTTATGCATAATTATATTATATATCTAATAATTTTGTAGACACAAATTGAATAAGAAGCCATTTCATAATATTAGTGTATTCAATACAAAGTCTTGAAAAATAAACACACAAAAATCAGCAAAAAATAAAATAAAATAAAGTGCATAAAGAGATGATCACAACCCAAAAAAACAGCCCTATATATGTATTTTTTTTCTTCTTCTTCACAATGAAATATTTAAATAGAAATGACCCTTTTACTATATTTTTTTCCTTTCAAATAAAGATTGAAGGATAATCATATATAGAGATATATTCAAACATTATTTCTCACCTGTGTTACTGAAAATTTGAACCTGGCGTGTACATAGCAAGATCAGGCCAAGAATTGCTATTGCCACTCCAACCATTACCACCTTCATCTCCGTCAAGGAACCTAACCGTCTGCGGATCCACATCCGGACCCGAACCCGGATCCCCAAAATGGTCGGTCATCTGCAGGGCCGGGCCACCCGGCCCGAGCCCATCCAAGAAGTTACCAAACTGGCCGCCGGCAGACCCCAGCAACGAGCTGAAGCTCCCACTCGCCGCCGCCGAATCCATGAAATTACCAAACTGCCCTCCAGGAAGGCTTTCGCGGGTCTCGCCATTACTGGGCTTGGCGTCGTCGTTTTTCGAAGCGGCGGGCGGGGCCGGCGCCGGCGCCGGCCGCTTGACAGCGGAGGAAGAGGAGGTGGCCCGCTTGGCGTGCTTCCTGGAGCCGCCGCCGACGGGGATGTTCCGCAACGCGCCGCCCTTGGTCCAGTAGCGGCGGCAGCTCTTGCAGAAGTGTCGGGGCTGGGAGAGATTGTAATTATTGTAGTAGCAGAATTTGGTGTTCGTGGAATCACATCGAGGGCATTTCAGCTGTTCTTGTTCTGGGAATTGTGATTTGATCTGAGAATAGAGCAGGGAAGACGATGGGTCTTGCATTTCTTGATTGGCCCAGATATTGTTCAATCTTGGCTTTGATGATGATCCAGTTCTTGATATGTCGGAATTAGGGTTTTGTGATCTTCGGATTGAGGGAATTTTGGAGAACTGGAGATCTGAAAAATGGAGTCTTGGGTTAAGAGTTAAAGGAAGTCTTGGAAGGGATGAATATTTTGAAGAAATGGAAAAGATTGATTTAATTTGATGATATGAAAGAAGAAATTAAGGATGAAGATGATTTGCTGACTGATGGATCATATCGATGTGAATAATAATGATCAATCCATATATGCAACTCCGCGTGACCTCAGAGAAAACAGACTATTAGTTCATCACTATATATATAAATATATATTAATGGAGAAAATAATTATTTCATCAAAACACAGAACAAAACAAATCCTATTCTTATGTTGTTGGAATTGTAATATTCCTTTGTTTATTTTGTGTGTATGTTTTAAAGTTTACATATTTTGATTTTTTGTAATGTAATATATTTTTTTGAATAGTTTTAAATAATATTAATATTTTTATAGCAAATTATTATATAATGCAAAAATAATTGAGAAAACAGAGACTAATGTAACGTGTTCGGAAGCTGACACATCCGGTGCCTAGGCTACGCTTGCGCTGAGGCTCAGACCAGCTGTCTTTTGTGCGCAACACGTCCGGAATATATCATACAGTGTGGGAGAATCATGCGGAACACGCATCTGCACAAAGATACGAGTCATTAATCCGTCGTACACATGTGATGAACTATGGCAAAGAAACAAGGGTTGGATTGTCAGCCCACTAATGTGCCCTATCTCCAATACAAATTCTAGGGGGGTGGGGGGGAAGGCGCAAAAAACACAAGCAAACATACCCATCAATCTCTGATGCAAATTGGGGTTTAGGGAGGCTATTAATAATAAGTAATATATTTGATTACTGACTATAATAATAATAATAAAGATTATGCATTGTGGGCTGCTCTAAAACCATAGCCTCTCCTCAGGAATTATTGTCCAACTAACTCATACTATTTTCAATTTTAATCCAACTCAACTAAGGAATAGAAAATGACTCGGAAATTTCAAAATATTTATAAAATCTTAAAATAAAAAAAAATGAAATTTTATTTTATATTTTGTGAAAAATATATATTTAATAAGATGTTTTCCTTAAAAAAAATATTATTGTTGATTAATATATTAAAATTTTAAAAAATATTTATGTAACTATATGGGAATTAGATTTTTCTTTTTTTTTTTTTAAAAAAATAATAATAAATCTAATCAATTTAAAATAAATAAATATATAAATATGGGGCCATTAATTAAAGAGTGTGTATATGTTTGTGATTCCCCCTCTAATAACAAATACTTTACTTAATATTGAAGAACCAAATGCTATTGGCAATAAGTGGAAATTTTTTTCATTCCATATACTTTATTCCTTTGTTAAAGAATATATCCTCAAACTATAGCTTTGCTTACTTGTGAATTTTATAAATTTTCACTTAATGTTTATTATATTAAATATTTATTTTTTTAATAACTATTTTGTTTTAGAAAGTATAAAAATACAGTAACATGTTTATTATTTCAAATTTTATTTTTTATTATATTTTGATATATATATATATATGATTCTCAATAAATATATCTTTCTAATCTAATAAATATTATTCAAATTAAAATGCAAATCGAACAAACTCTAATGGTTTTTATGAAAGTTAATATACTTTTATAAAAAAAATTTTAAAAAAAATCGTGATTTTACAATAATGAAATTGAAATTTATTCAAAATAAACATAGCATACATATAATTCTTAGGTCTATAAGTCATTTTAACATTTTTTATTTTCATTTTAGTTTGAAAAAAAAAAAAGAAAAAAAACTTGTGAACAACATATTTTTGAACTTTCAAATTATTAAGGAGATTTTATTGATGAGTTTTTCTTCAACTTTTTTAATATATATATATTTTTAGTAATAAGAAATAATAATAATAATAACTTTTTAAATATTATTTTATAAGATAGTATTATGAGAATGGATTGTCAGGGAGCAGTAAAGGTGGAAACAGTGATAAAGAAGTCGAGCATCATTTCAGTTCCATTATGAGGAAATCTGGACCGTCCGTTTCGGAAGTGGACCATCCACAGCCGTCCATCTGGGTGAGTAATATGTGAAGTCGTAATTTTGGGTGGATTTAGATGGCCGCCATGTAATGGCCCAGGCCCAACGCTGGGCCCATTTATCATCATTATATCAATTTTATTTTCTTAAAATTTTATTCATTTACTTTTTTTTTTTTTTTGTTTTTTAAAAAAGACCAGTGCGGATAATTATTGAGTTTAATATTCATATATATACATATATTTGAAGTTTAATAAAAAATTTAATAAACCATAAATTAATATTCATTACTACATTTTTCTTCATTTATAAAATATATATATTTATTTTGAATTATTTAATTATACAATAATCATTTTTATTTTCATAAATACTTCTCAGCATTATTATTTTTACACTAATAATTAATGACAAAAATTGTCTTTATATTATTTTTTAACTATTTATTACAATCAAAATATTATTATTTTTTAAATTTTGCACTAAAATAAATATATACCTTTTAGATAAAAAATATATATATATATATATATGGATTATATTTAAAAATTTCATTTTTAGTGGCATAGAATATATGCATAGTACGTCATATATAGTGGATAAAATGTAAAGTGTAGAACACGAGTTATGATGACATGTGTTGGTTAGTCCGATGATAAAAGCCTATTATTATTAATTAATTAATTAGGTTGGATTTGTATTTTTTTTATTTGATTTAAATAGTCTTTTAACATGATGTTTTATAAAATAAAATTGAATTTATATTTTTTTATTTAATTTAAAAAATATTTTATATGATGTATTATAAAATATATTTTTTTTAATTAAAAAATATATCAATTGAATAGTATTGATTTTATTCGAGGCCAAAATCAAACAAAAAAAAAACGCTTTGATCTTATTTTACGCTCTTTTCAATTTATTTATCAAGCTGTTTTGATTATATTTAAAAATTTAAGTATTATTTTTTCACGTCCGTTAATTTTAGTCTATTTGTTAAAAATAAAATTACAAAAAATAGAATAAAAATTAATGGGCAAAAATTATTATTTTGTAAAATATCACATATAACTACTGCTTAAATATTTCGAAGAAATGATTAAAAATTGCCGATAAAAGTTGGAATTGGAATTGGAATTGCATGCCGCATTCAGACAAACTCAATTAGGTCAAGATTTATGATTACAATAAATCCCCTATTAATTAATTAATTAATTATATTATATTATATTAGTCCCACATGCCTTTCTTCATCATTTATTTATACTGCTTCTTCCACTCAACTCTCAAACTGTAGCTTGCTTGCATATTTTGCATTTGCTTTGAGTTTTTCAAAATTTCAATAAAATTATTTGTTGCAGAGTCTCAATAAAACAATACTTCTTTTTCTATATGAAATTGTTGAAAATCTTTAGGATCAATCGACTAACACATGCGACCATAAATCATAAAATAAGAAGACAAGATTTACGATGTTCAGCCAAAATTGCCCACTCCTCACGGTTCGCTGCGCTATCCTTGCTCTGCTCCGCTACATTCGACCCACGGCCCCTCGATTTATTTTAAGCTACTTTCAATAGAAATATGTAGCTTTTGTTATTTTTATCCATTTAAAAAAAAAAATTATATATTTTTATTATTTAATAAGTGTAGATTTGATTATATATTATACATATTTATATTAATATTATGAACAAATCTTTACATATAACAATATAAGTTAACTATTATTTAAATATAATTATATTTTTAAATTTTGTGTCCAAGTAAATATTTATGTATATTACGTGAGCATCGGTCACCATCGAAGAATAATAACCTGCAAATTAAATCGGTAAATCAAGTCACATTAGGAAATGTATGATAGAAAATTAAAATCACACTCTCGAGGTATTAGTACCAGCTACCTGATCCATTCCCTGGTATGATATAGTATCACGTAAACATTCTCAATAAACCAAACAATAAAAATCAAAACATTAAAATAAAATAAAAAAGAAAGAAAGAAAAGACTGAGATGAGATATATCCAAGAAACACAATGAAAGAAGAACAAAATCATGCTACAAGAGAGAGAGAGGCCTGCTGACTGTCTGAATTATCTATCTATCATTCATTAGGCCACAGCCCCGTCGAGATTCGTCGTCGTCCCGGGACTGTGACGACAATAGTCACAGCTTGATCCAAAATATACATCCAACAAAATAACAGAAGAAACTAGAAAGAACAAGACACACAGACAATGTAAAAGACATCATCTTCTTGGTTTTTGAGTGAGAGAGAGAGAGAGAGAGAGAGAGAGAGAGCTACAAATCACATTTCTTCCCTACTCAAAGAACATGGTCATGATCATGATTATCTACCCAATGCTCTGTAAGAAACAGACCAGCAACATTACTACCAAACACAACAAAAAAACCAATGAAATAAAATACGAAATTGCTGGGTGGTGGTGGTCCATGCATTGCATACAATGGCGCAACCGAATGTTCCTGTTGTTGCCAATCCTTTGGCCGTCCATGGCTGACTTTCTTTTTTTTTTATTGTTTTCTTTATAAGGGTGTTGGGGCGGATGAAGGAGCCTCGATCTTGTCTGAACCGAAAGCAGTTCCAAAAATGTTCGTCTGGAGTGGAGGGGTGACTTTCACGCGTAATACATGTACAGGCTGTTTGCAGCAGCACAGGCAATAGAGTTTTCCGATGGATGCCAGGCCAGGTGGAGCAGCTTCGTGGTGAAATCAAAAGAGTTCCCGTTGGCATCGACTCCTGGTGATTCTGCCCCTGCACCATATATACGTACATACATATGTAAGTATGTGTAGCATCTATGTTCTTTCAGGTTGAAGAAAATAGGTAAACAATATGATTTGCCAAAACAAGATTAAGAATGTAAAAAGATACCTCGCCGTACAACGCGGCTGATGCTACTGCTCAGGGAACGGGTGGGTCTAGAGGGGGTCGCAACCTGCCTCCTGCAGACGTAAATAGTTTTATCGACCAAGAAAGATTGGATCAAAACTGCATTTTTGTTTCCATTAGGACAATACCTCCTTTTTAATTTTAGTAATTAAATTTGATTTCAATCGACTTAAGCCATGGATGGTAATAGTTACAGAACCTTCTAGCAAGACCAGATACGATATTTTTCCACACGCATTAAAGTTCAATACTATCAAACATACCTCATTGGATTTTTGCTAGCTTCCAAAGTGGTCGTCTCGGTACTTCCGGGAGCACAGCCAAACACACGGAACAGATTGCTGGATTTGTATAAAGCATTTTATTACACAGGCAGAGATGAAGAAGAAAATTGAACAATAAAAAGTGAACAGGAGGTCCGGGATACCTATAAGAACCAGTGGCCACTCGAAGGCCATCCCCACTCAAGCAGCATTCGAATTTATCAAAAATGGAGTCGTTTTCGTACAAGTCGCATAGCTGAGCATTGTTGAATTACAATTTAAGCAAGCAGCTTGATAACATTAGACAAGAACGTGGATAAAAGTAGTTTACCTTTGGTCTCAAATACTCGTGAACCTGGAAAGTTGATACCGGTCCGGAGTCCATATTAATATCCCATAACTGATACAGATAGGTATTTCATCAGCAAAGGATCGGACAATATTGTAATACGGTAATAAGTATGTGGACATGTGCTTAGGACATACTACCTTAAGGGTCATGTAATCACGGCTCAGTAAATATCTACCGTCCCTTGCAAACTTAATATCTGAAATTGAAGCAATTATCTCGGTGAAAAACGATCTAGAGCCTGGTGCCTCTTGTTGCTCAAATCTGTTTCATGATAACCCAACATTAAAATCTTACAATAAAGGACAGTTTTATCATTGGTAGTTAGAGAATTAAATGGGCTTACATCTTGGAATGTGAATCACAGAGCGCAGATTGCCGCAAATCAATGAGACGAATTGATCCTTTAGAACTACTGTATGCCAGCATGTTGCAATGATGAGGATGGAACTCAGCCGACGTTATGACCTCTGAAATGATAAACAAATATTATGCAATTGAGAGTTTCCCGTGATTAAAAAAGGTGCTTCACATGAATTAAGAAGATACTCAAATCGAAAAATAAATAAAATATTAGGTTACCAGTTAGATCCTCCATATTGGCTGGTTTAACATCAACAATGTTGAAGCTTTGGTTGCTTATTGCCAAGTTCCAGAGATTTATTCGGAGATCATCAGCTGATATAAACGTTTCACCATCACTGGAGGGCATTTGCACATGGAAATTATTTTTAAATTCAAGCAAATACTATAACCAGAAGGAAGAACAAAAGCAAAACTGACAAACACGGAATACAAATTTAATTTAGGTTCATTCAACAGCATACAGTAAAGTCGAAGGCCAGAGAACAAACTTGGTAGGTGTAACAGAATAACAGCGTGAATTGATGATGGGATTTTACCTGTTATTCGAGATAGAGTTGATATGGTAATCATGTGCATGAGCATATATTCTCCTGCATCTTGCAATGAGACTGCTCTCACTGCTCGTGACCTAGATACATTATATATTCAAGTCAGGAAATGGAGAGAATTAGCATTAAACAATCGAAACACACACACACATATCCACGTATAAAAAATATATATATTCTGAATTTCAAGAAGCATTGTATAAAAATTTTATACACAAAAAATGTAACCAGGTTATACAATTACCACTGGCAATCGGAGGGAGGCGATGCCCCCAGGCGGAAATGATGAGTTTTTGCTCAAATAGTCGGAAGGCTGATCTGGATAACTGCCATTAGCGAGGCACTGTTTAGAACTGGAAGAAACACTAGAACTTGCTACACTACCGTTTCCAACGGATTTAGATGAAGCTGCATTCATGACAGAAATTTTCTTGACCTTCTTCTCATGGACCTGTTTGGATAAGAAAGTTACATACAGAAAAAGGGAATCATGTGAGGTAAGAAAGTTAAAGGTGAGAAATAAAAATTTCGACTATTTCTCATCAGTTAATGACTGGGAATATATAATATATACAGTTCCATTCAGTAGGTTAAGAAGGCTACCATTTCCTAATTGAAAATGCAAAGCTACCCTTTCCTAAATGCCGTCCATATTAGATATAATCATCAAATGTCGCAACAAGTCAACAACCAATACACGACTTTGATGAGACGAGTGCAAGGCTTCATATCCATGTTGCCATGGTGAAACAATCGTAATTTAAGAGTAATGCCACCTGAATCTCTCTCTATCAATCATGATATAAGCGAAATCCTATTACCTTCCAAAATTTAATGGTCTTATCATTAGTAGACAGAAGAAAGAGTGCACCATTGGACGCTTGGCACCACCGAATCTTGTTTATTTTCTCCTCAATCTCCAAACTTTTAAGATAATCGAACTGTACAAAGTAAACAAAAGAGAGGTCAACAATTTTATTCCTTATTTGTAAGGAAGGGTTAAGAGTGTGCAACTTAAAAATGGAAAAAATAAAGTAAAATAAAAAAAGATAGTCTTCACGATAAAGTAAAAGGCATGAAAAAGTACCTCAGGTTCGTGGCTCTGAAATTCAGTCTGGTAGCGGAATTCAGGATGTCGCCTATTTGGACAATCCATCCTTTCTAAATCTCTTCGATTTCCACCATGCTTCATATCCAAATTGTAAGAAAAGACATATATATTAAAAAGTAATAAAATAAAATTGAAAACACAATTATCGAACCATAATATTAGATCTTGTGACATCAGTGTATCCTCACCTCCTTTTTGTCGGTCCTTTCAAATAACACGACTCTTCCACCACGGTCCCCAGTAGCTAGATGGTCACCACTTTTGTCGAATTCAATGGCAGAGATGATATCAACTACAAGCAAAGAAAGAAAATCAAGCAAGCAATTAATGCCATCAAACTTTCAAGACATAAAAGCAAAGAGCTAAAACAGCTAGAGAAAAGCACACAAATTCCACCACTCATATATACTATAAACAATCGTCACTGATCTCACCCATAACCTTTTAGCTTAAATAAGAACAACATTCCTATCCTTACAGGGCTACTTTACGGCACTTTCCCACCTTACTCTCTCCGCCTAACCAAGAAACATTGCCATTTATAATCCGCCAAGTTAGCACAACACGCAATCATAGCAACAATGGCTTATTGAACAACAAGGCATGCACAACTTACATTGCGCACAATTAACCCGACAACTTAAAAACAAAAGATGGTTTTGTCCAAAGACATACGTATACCGAACCAATGAATTATCAGGGAACTTCCCAAAGATTCCCACCATATCACAGGCGTCACAAAACCATCCACCGACCGAAAACTACAAAAATGGACACAAAACCATCCAATGACCGAAAACTACGAAAATGGACAACCCAAATGGCTGAAATCGTAATCATTAAAAACGCATCAGCAATCTAAATTCACACAACTAAAGAAACTCATTATCAGTAGTGACACAACAGCTGACTTCTTATATTATTAGTACTCAAAGAAGAGCAGCTAAAGTTATGCCTATCTCCAATTCTCTCATAATCATAATCATCGGATAACCTTAACAAATCTAGAAAGATGTATGCTTATGGCTGATGCCATAGAGTTGCAGCTCGATTCATGATTCCAGATTGAATAATCCCCACAGAGATAAGAACACAGAGCAAAAAATTCTCACAACAAGCAACAAAAATCAACATTGAAGTCAATCCACTGCACTCTACACCATTTTCCCTCAAACAATCTGATCATAAGCAAATCATAGACTGTAAATCCCCAATAGATTTTCCACTAAATCAAGCAATCAACGATCCCTCCCTCTCCCCAACAAAATACCATCAAAATCACAATATCCCAAACCCTAGCCACGAGATCCGAGCACAAATGAAAAATTTTTCCCATTCATTCGCTATTACCTTCTTGTACTTCCTCGCCGGCCGTCCGCTCGCCGAAGACCTGCGAGAATTTCCACTCGAGGGGCGCAGGTGGACCGTCCGCCGCAGATGCCACCCCCGCGCCATCCCCGCCGTTCATTCTTCTCGGCAATCGGAAACCCGAAGCAAATCAAGACGGCTACCAACGAGAGGAGACGAAACGAAACGAAACGAGAAAACAATCGCAATCGCAAGGCAACAATAGAATACAATTGATTCTGCCTTTTCCCCCCTTGCCTATATACACTTCATTGAGGGAAACCCCAAAAAGAGCGAATTCAGGTCCGCAAATCGGAAGAAGATCGGAGCAGGCGAGGGATGTTGGATTCAGATTCAACCATTATTTCTCCAGTGTGTTGATATACACAACAACATCGATTAGTACACAAAAAAGAATTGAGAACTCAGATTTCTCTCTGCAAATAATATATATTTTTTATATATACATATACATATGGTTATTTATTTTGATGCTTATAAAGCTGAAATTTTTACCACTTTTTCCTCCTCCCTCAAAAGTGTATTCCTAGTTTTTTCACCAAATCAGTTTTATTTTTTCTCACTCCTCTTATGAGGGCATCTCTCGAATATATAAATATATATATGAATATAGAGAGAGAGAGAAGGGCAAAAGGGAGAAAAAAGCAATCAAGATCTAAGCACAATGATCAATCAATAATGAAATGGAAATATACAAACAAACAAACAAACAAACACATGTATGTATGTAATAAATCGATGGTATCACTTTGATCCAGGTTCCATTTTATTTATTTATCTTCCATTAATTAAGAATAAAATTGCAATCTTGAAATAATTAATTGTAATGAAAAGGCAGGCAGCCCATAGCAATGTGTTGGTGTGTGCTGTCTGAACGGAGATGGGATGTGAAGTGTGAACTCTCTCTCTCTCTCTCTCTCTCTCTCTCTTCTTTTCTTTCATTTGTCAATGGTGGAACCTCTCAGGCTCTCAGCCCCCTAGACCTAGAGTGAAGATGAAGAAGGTAAAGGTTGGTGAAATAACATTTATGCCCTTTATTCTTTTTATAATATATATAGAAAGAAAAAAAGAGAAGTGGTGTTTTGGGCGTTTCCCTCAGTAGCCTTTTGGTGAAGGAATCTGGCTGTGTACGTGGTTTCGGCAATGGAGGATTTCTTCTCAATTTTTATTATAAGAATGACTCATTCTTTTTATTAAAAAAATATATTTTCTTTATTTCAATGCAAATGAATCACTTGAAATTTTACACTATATTAAAAAAAATTAAAAAATTTTAATATTTTTATCATTTAATAAAAAAAAATAGGAACGAAAAAGTATGTGTTTTTTTTTTGTCAAAATTTTTAAATATTTAATTTAAAAATATATATATATATAAACAAATTATAATGAATTTTATAAAATATTCTTTACCGTTCCACTTTAATAGTATTTTATTAACCAATAAAAATGTATAAAATTTTGATATTTTTCATATATAATGATATCTTTGTAATTCATGTATCAATTAAAGGATATTTGGATATTACTATATAATTAATTTTACTAAATAAAAAATTAATAATTTTGAATAAAATAGATGAAAATAATAAAAATAGTACTTTTAAGGTGTTAAGTATAAAATATATATTTATTTTTGACATGGAGTTAAATAATACTATTAATATTTTAATTGCAGTATATAGTTAAAAATAATCTAAAGATAATAACAATTTTGGTCTTATGTTTTAATATAAAAATAATAATGTGATTTTGTAAAATAAGAATATTTTTGAAATAGTTATTTTATAATTAGATAATTTAAAATAAAAATATATATTTTGAGTGGACAAAAAAAAATAATAAATATAATAGATTGAAGTGATACTACAAAGGTGTTGAAAAGAAATAATCTGATAGGGTTTGATATTGAATTTAAATTTTGAACGATAAAAATTGTAAATTGAAATAATTGTATATAAAATATTTTTAAATTTAAAATTAATTTTATAATAAGAAAAATAATGAATATATATTTTATTTGGTAAAATTTTTTTTAAAAAAAAGGAAAAAAGACAAACGTGTTTAATATGAATATGATATAAATAAAAATAATAACATAATGAAATTAAAATTATCGTTACAACAAATACTATTTGAAAAATTGGGTTTACTTTTTTTGTGTATTTTTTTCAGTCCAATTTAATGTATTTTTAAAAATAATTTTCATCTTTATCATAAAAATATATATATACTTTTCATAAATTTTACAAAAATATATCTTTTGTTTATATTTATATTTGATGCTATATTATTTAGTTCATCAGTCTTGTATTCAAATTTTTATTTTCTATACATGATCTCAATGTATATATTTAATTTTTTTTTAAAAAAATTCAATATTTTATCTAAAATATTATTTTTTATATTATCAAAATATTAAACAAACAAATTCAATAATACTAAAGTCTTAAAGTTACAGTCTAATTATAATATTAAATTTTATATTATATAAAAATATCATATAGGGTTTATTTGTTCTAATTTGATTTGAAAATACTTGTTTGAAAAATAGAAATCTAACAACCAAACCCAGAATTGTAATATTTTGAAAATTTAAGGATGAGCGAGGCAATACATTTTGATATCAGAGATAATCGGGAGAATTTAAAACCCAAATTCAAAGGAACAATTGATCGGCTGCTGTGCCTGAGCCCTTCCAAATTTGGTTCAACCGCCGAGAGACAAACCCCCCAACCCCACCCGGAATGTACGGAGCCGCAGGGAAGCTCGGCCGCGGCGGCGGAGGCGCCGGGAGGAGGAACATTCACGCGCCGCCAATCAACCGCCCTGCTTCCATGGTTCGCCCCTCCAGGGGCGGCGCCGGAGGACGTGGCCGTGGAGGTCTGTCGTCCGCCGCAACTTCGAACCGCTCCGCGCCCTCCGAGCTGCAGGTGGAGGAGAGTTTTGCCCTTGTCAGGGAGAATCCTTTGAATTTCGGGATGGCGATAAAGCTGGCACCAAACCTCGTCGAGGAAATCAAGCGCGTTGAGGCGGAGGGCGGCACGGCGCGCATAAAGTTTGACGTCGGTGCGAAAAATCCCAACGGCAATGTGAGTGTTTGGAATCGAATTTAATGTTACGTGATTATTGCAAAATCTGAATACACCTCTGCCTGTATGTATTGTAATGCAGTATAGAATCCATATGTACTTAGGGTTTAACTAAGAATCTGGAAGCTTATGGTTCGTGTAAAGTTAGGAGGGTTTCAGTTTTGGCTTGCTGATAGAATTTATCCGTTGATTTAGGTTCCTTTTTGGTAAGAGTTCGGACTAAGTTTCTTCATAATGAAGGATTGCTGCTGGAATTTTTCAATGTTTATTTCTGATGATGCGATTAAAAATTGAGTACTTTTATGGAAGTGGGGAGGAAAAATGCAGAGATAACCATGATTGTTTTGATAATATATAAAAGACATGACAGTAGTTTGTCTTGCTGAATCATGCTATGGTGATGATTATGCATGGTGATTGCAGAGTACCTTTGGGATTTTCAAATGCTCTTTGATTGGTCGTTTTTGGCTTGATTAATGTGAAGGTTGTTTATCAGAATGCTATTATTAAAAATTGAGTCAATTAACAGGTGTAAAATGAAATTGCCTGAGGCTTAGAATTCTATTCATATATAGGGATGATTACCATGTCTTTTGGCTTGTTAGTACTTAGTTGTTAACTTCTATTTTATTTTCTATGTTCCTAACCCTTGTGTAAAGTGTAATGTATTTGGAGCCATAGGAAATGTTGCCATTGTTTAACTGTTTGCAAAGAAATGATATTTGGCTTGAAAATGATATAGTTTTTTTATTTCTTAAATTTGCTGCCCTCTTGCAATCTTGGGCCTGTTTTTTTCCACCATAAATATATTTCTTGATGTTCTGCAATTCTTTTGTCCCCAAATTCTTGTAAGGATAATAATATATTATCTTTAATTCATAGAGCTAAAGATTTCTTGTGTCATGGATATATTTTGCTTTAGTTAGTTGCATTGTTGATTAAGCAGTATTGTGTAGGATTTCCCCATTACATGCGGAGACAGTGCTTCCAGTCATGCTTTTCCTGAAGTGACTTGAGATGAGAAAATTAAGGATTGATGCTTTTCTATTCATGTACTGACTTTCTTCAATTCACCTTGAAATCTGTGTGCTTTCGGCCGTCTTTTTTACACTGTTATCTTTCTCATTGAAGTTTGTTCTTCTGGTCCACGAGTTAATATTTTTATTCTTGTCATATGGATTAAATATTTTTTGTATTCTGTCTGGTTTTATGGTTTGTCCTCCCTAATACTAGTAAACTTGAGACCCAGCTAGTCATTTTTTTTTTTTAATTAATTTTTTTATAGGTTATTCAAGTTGGTGATAAAACCTTCAGATTCACTTGGTCGAGAGAGCCAGGGGACTTTTGTGACATATATGAAGAACGTGAAAGAGGTAAAGATGGGAACGGTTTGCTTGTAGAATCAGGAGCTACTTGGCGCAAACTGAATGTAGAGCGCGAATTAGATGAATCAACAAAAAACCATCTAAAAATGAGGTCAGAAGAAGCAGAACGTAAAAGTAAATCACGAAGGTAACTTTCTTTCAGTAGAATGAATTTCCTCGCAATGGAAGAGTGATATAAGTTCATTTCTGTTATAGGAGTGGATGAAAATGAAGCCTATCATTTAATTATGTTATTAATTTCTTCTTTGACCTGATAACAGAGCCATTGTTTTAGATCATCAAACTCCAGCTGTGAAGAATCAATTACAGGATTTTGCTGCTGCCGAGTGTATGTCATTAGCTTTTATGCAATAGTTCTCTGTCATTTACACATGTGCAATGTTTTGGATATATGAGTTACAGCTAGTGTCAATTTTTTTTCTTTATAAGGTGAAAATTTTATTTCAAAAAGCTTGGCCATCAGCTCGCTCCTCATTTTCGTAACACTGTAGATGCACTTATATAATTGCTTCCAACTGTGATTTCCCATGCATTTTTTCATATCCCTCTTTTATAGTTTAAGGTCTATGAACTGCTATAAAATAGAGTTGTTCAAGTATATTAGTTTATCTTCTCTCTCTTTTACCATTCCTGCTTTTAACTACATGTTGCGATTGAGATGGCTGATGAAATTGAGATAGTGATAATCTTTAAAATCTGAAAGAGATATGTTATTCTTTGCTTCCCATTCCTACTTGCAAAACAATTTGATAGCACTTGGTAATTTAACTTGACGTGGTCATATGATTATATGCGCATACTCTAAGAAAGAGAAACCTAAGTTTCAGTCCATTACTTTTTTGGTTATTTCTTTTGGAGAGATGAACAAGATTTGATTTTGATCATACTGAATAATTTTCTTATAGATTCTTAAGAGAGTACATTTTATTCTAAACTTATCTCCCCATATTATTTTTGTCGTTCTCCTAAAATAGTGACAAGATAACCATCCATTATGATGTTAAATTTTGTGTTGAAGTAGAATGGAAATATAGTGTATGGCACTGAAAAATATTATTCTATATATAAATGGCATCTTAATCATATTTACTAAAAGCTTTACAGCACTGTCACCAGCTTTGAGCTAAATGTAGTGTAATTTATTTTTCAGCCAATCCGTGGAAAAATTTCAAGAACAGGAAAGAGAATCCTTTGAAAAAGCCAAAGTCTCAAATATCTTCAGGTAAATGGAAGATCAAACCAGTTTTTTATTTGTTCCCTTGGATTTTGTTAGGAAATTAATACTGAGATGATACTCCTTTGAATCTATTGCAAGCATATGACCATGGATATATTTCTGTTTTGGGCTTCATTAACCGTTTTCACATTATTGCTTGTTTATGAATTATACTAGGGGGACCTTCTAGGCCGGTCTGTAAATCTGGTTTGCCTCCTAGTGGCCTTTCAAAGGTTAAACTCTCATCTGGTTCACCTTCATCTTCCCAACTGGAGCAACACAGTGACTCAGTACCCCCTCGTGTGAGTGGCAATTCTGTTAAAGGACAGGCAAGCCTACCAGAGGCTGCACTTCAGAATAAGATAAAAATTGCCAGCTCTGACAAGGATTTGGGCGCCAGCCTCTCAAATAGTAGTACTTTTAGTGAAACAGTCAAGCATGGCCAAAACACAGAGGCTAAAACTACTGATTTAAGAAGTCTGATAATTACACTACTTCTGAAGCACCAACATAAAGGACTGAGCCTAAAGGTAAGCAGTAGAAATTTGAGAGGCTTTTGCGTTCTTTATGAATATGTACTGTTCTTTCCTTTGGACATCAACATGTGCTTATTATGGTTCTTTGGCAGGCTTTGGAGAAAGCCATTGGAGATTCTACGCCGAACTCAGCCCGGCAAATAGAACCAATTTTGAAACAAGTATGCAGTGCACATGCTTTAAATAAATAATCTTTTTATTTCATGGACGATTCTCACTTATCTATGTTGTATTGGTAGATTGCAGTTTTTCGATCACCTGAAAAATATTTCTTGAAACCTGGGGTGGAAATGGAAAGCTTCAAGAGGCTTCCACCTCAAATTGGAAGGTGTGTCCATCACATCTGTTTATTTATTTATTTATTTTATTGTGTTCTCAATGCTCATCTTTGTGTTTATCTGTGGTTCATTTCTCTTTTTCTCAGTTGTTTGAAATATGGGCATTGGTGCAGTGGTGCTATTAGTAAGGTTAAGTGTCTTTGCTAATAAGATGACAGAGGAATGGCATAAATAACCATATTGTTTGAGTTTGTCCTTCGGTACATAACCATTATGTAATTGAATCCGTGGAAATGAACATATAGATTACAGAAATTTCAATTTTATTTGTATTTGTTGCTTTCAACATACGATATATGATCTGTTGCAATTTGCCAGGTGTGCTAGGTATTAAAAATCTGCAATAATAAGCAGTTATTTTGTTTATTTATATTTCACTTTCCATGATTTTCTGTGTGTTCTTTTTTGATGTTGTATCAATATTTTTAACTTGATTTTTCTTGTTTGTATTACTTATTTATTTATTTTGCATGGATTGCAGTCATGAAACATGCCAGTTTCAAGATAGAAAGTTTTGTGCTTGTTAGATGTAGTTGAAATCAGACCTTAAATTAAATTGTTGGTCCCATCTGCCTGACATTATATGCATCCATCGTCCATGTACTGCATATTTGTTTGTACATAAGTTAATGGTTATCACTAGGGCTCTAATGTTTCATTGTTCACCAGTTCTCCAGAAATTAGACTTGAATCTCCTGCACTGCAGAAATCGGATCAACTTCCTGCACAAACTCCAAGCTTTTCCATGAGAACAGCTGCCACAGATGAAGAACCCGCTGACTTAAACTCTACACCAGTACATACAGTGGCTTCCGAGGAGAATATTGATATACTATCTAATTCACCAGAACCATTCAGTGACCAAAAGGTTTCAAACAATATTGAGGGGTTGGTAGGCAGCTCTAGTGATAGCGGGAGTGTCAGTGACACCGACAGTGATAGTAGTAGTGATACCGGGAGTCGTAGAAGTAGAAGTCAAAGTCCAGTGGGAAGTCGAAGCGGGAGTAGTAGTGATAGTGATAGTGATAGCGGAAGTGATTCAACTTCCAGTAGCAAGCAGGCATCTGAAGATGATGTTGATATTATGATGAGTGATGATGACAAAGAAAGTGAGCGTAAATTGCAAGAATTTGATCCTGTCTCATCGAAATCTCCTCTAATATGGAATTATCTGGATAACGAATATCCTGATGTAGGCAACTCTGAAAGGCATGATGATCATGTTTCTGGTGAGGTTGACATTGAGAATGAATCCCCTCACGATTTTATTGATGCTGAGAGGCTGCGCGGAGCTATTCATTCAGTATCTAATGAAGAACGAGACCATGTAAGAAAAGCTGATAATGGATTGGGCTGTGTTGCTGAAGATGGATTTAAGCCTGATCAGTCTGGTAATGTGGAAAGATCATCAAAGAGTGGCAAATCTAAACGACCTACTGATAGTAATGATTTTAATGGGAGGGTTCCCAACAGAAAGAAACTGAAGAGCCAAGACTTGAGCCAACCGGTATCTGGGACCGTGAGTTTGCTTTTTGGAGAGAGTCCTGGCAATGCATCCCCTGATAGACCTCTAGATGTCCCTGACATAGAAAATACTGAGGCTCCTTCAACCGAAAGAAAGCCTGATAAACCTGAAAGTTTGGAGCATGGGGTAAGACATTCTGAAAGAAGCCTTCAATCCCATGAGGGTCTTTGGACACAGAAAGGAGAAACACAAAGTAAAGATGATGCGAAGGAATCCAATTACAGAAAATCAGAAATGCCGGGGATGGTTAAGAAGGGCACATCTCATTCAATCTCACATACAGGTTATTCTCCCAATAGGATGAGCAACACGAGTGGTGCACTTCAAAGAGGTCAGTCTGACTTGGAATTGGGTGAACTTAAAGAATCTTTCAATGGGGAAAACAAGAGGGATTCGGAAATTTGGAATTCAAATTCTGCTAGAGGTAAAACATCAAACAGTATCACTAAAGATTCATTGTCCCCAGCAGATCCAGAGGTGGCAGCATATATTCCAAATGGAGCATCTAAAAGGAAGGCCACAGAACATAATGCTGACGATCTTACAAGACCTTGTTTGAAGCGTCCTCGACCTTTGCACCGGCAGAATCAGCCTCCTGGAAATCATGTTGAGGTTGGTTCTCAGCTCAATAAAGGACCCAAAATTAGTAATAAAACTAGATTTGCTGAGGCTGGAAGAGCCCCGGGCCAAAACTCAGATTCTTGTAGAGATACTTCCAAGACAGTGCCTATGACACAGCAAGAGCCTGTTTCCATACAAGGAGTTGGGCTCCATACTACAAAAGAAAACACGACCAACATGGCTCAGGACTCGAATGATAGACAAAAATATGCTTCTTTAACGGGACACAACGGTGCCATTGGAGAAAATATGAAATCTTCGTTAGATGCAGGCAGTTCTCCATACACAAAATATGAGAAGGAGGAGCCTGAACTTAGAGGACCAATAAAGGATGTTTCTCAGTAAGTCTTCAAGCCGTGTTTTCATAAATAAATAAATCAACAAACAAATGAATGTAGGTGTTCTATAGCTTGTAAGCCTACATTTGTGTCCTAGACTTTTACGATAATCTATTTCTTTCAGGTACAGAGAATATGTTAAGGAATATCAAGTCAAGTACGAGACATATAGGTCCTTGAACAAAATCCTGGAGTCATACAGGTAACTTAAATCTTATTAGCTCTTATTTGGGGTTTGTTCGTCTACAAAAGTTGTCTGATGTTTATAGTTATGGTGCATGATTAGGGAGGATTTTAGTAAACTTGGGAAAGATCTCAAGGCTTGCAAAGGCACAGATATGAAGAGATATAGCGACATATTGGAGCAGATAAAATCATCATTTTTAGAATGCGGCGAGGTGTGCAGATTTCTATCTGGTCAATTATGGATAGAGAACTTTATGGATTCATGCTTAATCACTACTTTGTCTCGATTTTGCAGAGGCACAAACGGCTGAAGAAAATATTTGTCGTGCTGTACGAAGAATTAAAGGTGTGACCGGATTCATTTCTCTGTAAATCATCCCCCAGAATTTCACCATCGTTTTTTAACTCATACATAACGTTGGGATGCAGCATTTGAAAGAGATGATTAAAGACTATGCTTCCGCGTATCAGAAAGGCTGATGGATCGATCATTTACCAATTGCCCTTTCCAATTCCAAAGCAACACAAAACACATGGAAATCAAATTTGTCGCCAAGGATTGATGCTAATGTCTGTGTGCGGGCATCGAAGATTGAGATAGCTCCATCCTGTTGCAGGTAACCCACCCTACAACCTGGAACTGAGGCTGTGAACGTGTGTGTGTATATATATTATATATATATATATGGTTTTTTTGGAGAGATAGAGAACTTGTGTGTATAGCATATGAATATATATCTATGTAGTTGTGGTCTGGTGTGACTATCTGTAATGCAGCAGTATCATTTTCTTATGCTTCTTGTGCTACATTGCAGCGTACCTTTCGGTTTTGCCAGACTTGGAGTTCTTAAAAGATTTGGGAATATAAAATTTAAAAAATACAAATAATAATAATAATTAGTGTGTTGAGACAGCCCATTTTGAGCCTTTGGTACTTTGTGCAATAGTAAATTTTTGGTGTGTTTGTTTGGGGCATTTTTTTCCAGATACACTATTCATTCTATTTTTTTTTAAAAAAATATCAAATTAAACATTTATTTTTTATTTTTTATATTATATTAAAAATTAATTTTACATTCAAAATATCATATCAAATCTATTTATATTACATTATACATGTATTTAAATTTAAAATTTTTAGTATTCAAAATTCAAACTTCCAAACAGAGTTTCGTATTTATTTATCCGTATTATATTAGGATGTAGAAACAAAAGTAAAAATACTACACTATTGTATGATACAAATAGATTGTTAAGGGACTAAAAGAGTATACTATTTCGTCACAATATAATAGTCTTTTACACGTATTTTTTACTATTTTTTTATTATACAAATATCACTATCCTTCACACTAATATACTCACAAAGATAAACAAAATTAAAATAAGAAGTAATTAATTATATTATATATTTTATCACACAACTTAATAAAAAAATAAATATATATTTTTTTATCACATTATTTAATTTATATTTTATTTTATCTGTCTAAATTCTTGTGTTTGAATCAAAATATTGCATCTTATATAAAAAGGGCCGAATGAATGAAGTATATTATACTCCTCCATCCACTTACAATGTTTAAATTTATTTTTGGCGCGTGTTTAAGAAATAATAGTATTTTAATTATAGCGAATAGTTAAAAACGGATGACATTTTTGCCTTTTTTGTGTAAAAGTCAATGCGATGGAAAGTAATGGTATTTGTGGAAAAAAAATACGGTATTTAATGAAATGTAAATTTTGTAATTGGATATCTCAAAATATAAATATATATACTTTCTAGCCGGACGGAGGGAATATCATATAAAATATATTATACTCTATGTACTTTATTTTGTTTTAAATTATTTTATATTAATAATAAAGTAATATTTTTATTTTTTTATCATATAAAATGTTATTTTATAATATATATATATTGATTATATTTGTATAATATATTTATAAATTTTATTTTTTTATAAATATATTAAATTAATATTTTATTTTTATATCACGAAGCATATGATTTATTCTATAATATTATAATTCAAAAAACCATCCAAAAAAATAATTTCTAAATTGAAGTAGTATTAATATTTAATATGATGTTTGGTGATAAAAGAATAAATATTTGATGAGTAATGCAAAATCTTAAAAAAGGAAAAAGATCAGTGTAAAACTTAATACAGTTAACTTTCATTGCCACATTTATATTTTTGCTTGGCACCAATTTCAGTTAGCCTACATTGGTGAATGTATCATTTGGTTAAATATGAAAAGGTCTAGGTGCTTTGGGTTTATTTATTTTGTTTATTTTGTTTATTATGTTATTTTTTATTTTTTTTTAATAATAGTAATATTTTTTTTTTTTTATTCTCACAGAATATTCAATAAAATCAAACTAATCAAAGTTGAAAATTTTAAATAATTTTTTTTTTTATTCTCAATTTCTATTTTTCCTTTTTTTTTTTAAATAAACTATATTTGGATCTATAGTTGATTAATATTGCATTCGATACTACAAATCTAAAATCTAATATTTTTTCAATATTATTTTGTATTATATAATTCGCCGTATATATTTATAATATCCTTTATATATCATTCTAAAAGGTCACATTTTTAATTCTATTAATTTCTATATTAATTTAGTATTTTTCTATTCTATTGGTATGCAATTCTTATATTTTAAAAAAACAATAAATATATTATTTTTATCATATACATAGATACAAAATATAAATACAAATTCATTGTTTGATTTTGCATTGTAATTTCTTCTTTAATAATGATTGAAAGTTTTGTAAAAAAAATAATATATTTTATAAGGAAAAACTTAAAATAAATAGAATTATAATCTTAAATAAGTTTTTTAGGTTATGTTTGTTTTGTGAGATTGGTGGAAAGAATTTATGTTTTTTCTAATGTAAATTATATAGAATTATGTAAAAAATATAAAAGAGTTATAAAAATAAATGTGTAGAGAATATAAAAATTGATTATGAAAATTTTAAACACATGAAATAAAATTGTAAGTTTGTTTTTTTTTTTTATATAAGGTATAAAAAAACGTGTCAATATTGTAATATAAAAATAATATTTTATTTTAATTATTAAGTTTTTATGAATAAATAAAATATATATTATATAAATGTAAGTGTATATTATATTTTTTTAATATTAATTAAGAAATATAAAATTGTTGTTTGACCATAATTCATATTATTCCTATTTTTTAAAATTAAATTATAATTATGTACAAATATTTTGTATTTAGCATTAATTCTATTTTAAAAGAAATATATTAAAAATTAAAACTAATTTCTTATTCAAAGATGTTTCTAATGGTAATTATTTAGCCGATGAAATTAATTCCTATATTATACGTCGATTGAAAATATAACAGATAAATTTTAAAATAAAATAAAAATAAAATAAAAATGAAACTGACGATAATAGATAGCTTGCAAAAAACTACGGTCGCAACTGTTATCACATACCATTTATGGTAATTGCACGGAAGCACCAATAAAATTAATAATTGCAATTAGCTCCACCAAATCAAACCTTCCGCCACCCAAATCATTCCCCTCTTTGCCCTTTTTTCTCAACCCTCAAATTCCCACCTTTTTCTTCATCATCTCTACCTGCAATTACTTCTCTAATTAACTGTTGCTACTGGTGGAAGAAGATCCCGGCAGTTCAATTTGATGCTGACAGTTACCTAGCTGGTGACTGTTTTATGTGGTTGAGTTGCGGAAGTGAAGTACAGTGATTTCGTCTGAGGTTTCTGTTTCTTTCTCTAATTGGATTGCTAATTTTGGAATCTTGTGATTGGTTTTCTAGGAATCAGTTACTTGCGTGCTGTTTCGTTGCATCGTTTGTTTGCTTTCAGAACAGTGGTTGCTTTCTCAACCATTGAATTATTGTGTCTGATAAGCAAATTCTCCATGTTTATTTATCCATCTAGTGCGTTTGGATATGTAATAGTTTGCGTTTGCGTTCACAGGAAATGTTTCTGGAAGTTGAGTTTGTTGGATATTATCAGTCTTTTGATTTTCTCCCATTTCTTTCTTTCTTTTAGTTTTTGTGACCTTTTTGTGGATTTATCTATTTATTCATTTTTTATGTTGATAATGTTAAACTGCTCAAGAAAGTGAATTCTCAAAAAAAATTATCAAAAGGCATGCTTATGTGTAGGACATCAGCTTTAAGAAGTGTTTTGTAGCATTGGGCAGAGCTCAAGAAAGATTGAATCTTAAAGTTGAAAGAAAGAGCAAAATTAGCAGTGTTATATTTAGCACATGAAAATCAAACTTTTGTTGATGGAATATTCTAGATCTTGTATTGACAAAGGACAAAACAGAAGTGGACCAAGAAGGATTGTCTTTTGATTCCTGTAGATCTTATGATAAGCTTCTTTCTACCTTACACTAGAATCAGATGTTTCAATTGAATTTTTGTTAAAGACAGTTGGTTAAAAATGTAGAATCATTTTCCTTTCTTTATATTCTGTGTTATGATGGATGTATGATTGATGTTGATGGGGTTGTTTATTTCATTCTTGTATTATCTGTGAGGCTCATGGAGATCAATGTGTGAACTTTTGCAGAGGGAACAATTTTAAGCTAAGAGCTGCACTGTCATGCTTAATGTTGCTCCCGGCTGGTGGGATCGGGATGAATTCTGCAATGGATGATATGAACTTGATCCAGCACGCTCAGAGGCATCACCTTGTTGTCAGGGATCTTGGAGAAGAAATTGATTTGGAAATAGGCCCCGGAGATGATGATCCTTCTTTCTCACATGATTCTCTTCTTCGTGTTCAAGCACATGAAGCATCGGCCAAAGAGCATGGTGAAGACAAGCTCATGATGGGTTCTCACCTTCCTAACGAGGATCAAGATTTGTCGAAGGCACAATCAGGGAAAAGGAAGAAGAAAGTTGTTAAAAGATGGCGAGAAGAATGGGCTGATACATATAAATGGGCATACGTCGATGTAAAGGATGGGACTGCGAGGATATTCTGTTCTGTATGTAGAGAGTATGGCAGGAAGCATAGGCGGAACCCTTATGGAAACGAAGGAAGTAGGAATATGCAAATGAGTGCCCTGGAGGAACACAACAATAGTTTGCTTCACAAAGAGGCTCTCCGCCTGCAACAAGCCTCTAAAGAAAAAGTAATTGTTGACAAGCCAATCTACGTGAAAGGTGAGCTCTTGTTTCTTTATTATTTTACTTTAGGATTTTTAATGGTTGATATATGATTTTGCTGGTGTATTCTTGTGGCGATTGGATTTGCTTTCAGTATTAGCATTCATTTTCTGCCTTTCTCTTTTCCTATTTCTAGCTGGATATTCGTGTATGCAATATATATGAATTCATTATGATGTGTCTTTATGCTCTGTCAATAGTAGAAGTTTGTCAGAAACATGTTAACGCATTAATTAAAGAAGTTACCAAACTATTAAATGTCACTTTTTTCTTGCCTTTTTCCATCAGTGACTATGTTTATATAGTATTATGTTTCGAACACTCTTGGAAGAATATATATATATGTACACACAAATAATCCAATAGATCTCTCTCCGTCTGAGGTCTGTGCGTCGCTTCCTTTTTATTTCCCTTAAAATTGAACAAAATAGTTTCCCTTGATGCGTTTTGCATCCAGATTGTAATCTTGACTTGTATACTGATTTATCAAATGTGTTATGTGATTTATAAAAAATAATATTGACACTTATACAATTAGTGAAACCTTAGCACAGCTCTTATGTCAAAAACGGCTGGATCAATTGTTGAAGCTGCATTGAGAAGAGACCCTCATGAAACTGAGTTTATACAGTCTGTTCAAGAAGCGGTTCATGCTCTGGAAAGAGTGATTTCAAAAAACTCCACGTAGGTTGCCTTATCAATATCTAATTATTAAGTCAACATCTCCTTGTGAAAATAAACTTGGTTTATATGTTATGAATTATGCCTATAATCATCATCTTATTGTTTGCAATTATGCCAGTTATGTCAATACCATGGAGCGATTGCTAGAACCTGAGCGTACAATTATCTTTCGGGTTCCATGGGTTGATGACAGAGGAGAGACACATGTCAACCGTGGTTTCCGTGTTCATTTTAACCAGACGCTTGGCCCATGCAGAGGTGGACTACGCTTTCATCCACTGATGAACTTGAGCATTGCTAAATTTCTCAGTTTTGAGCAGGTTCTGATTTTGATTTTGACCTTTCAAATCATCCTTCTTCTTAATGTTTCTTCCTTGTTTGCCACTGGTGTATTCATTTTATCTGTATTTCATAGTGGATTTCTGGATTCAAATTTGTTTTCCAATTTCTTGAGTTGTTCTCAATGTAATATATTTATCCGTATATATATACATGTCTGCACACATGTTATGCAGTATTTGCTAGAAATTGAGATAATTTAAAATATGCTCACTGCTTAATTCTCTCTTTCTGTCACAGACTTTAAAAAATGCTCTATCTCCATATAGGCTGGGAGGCTCTTCTGGTGGGAGTGATTTTGATCCCAAAGGGAAAAGTGATAATGAGGTGTTGCCTTTAGCCTTTCGTTTTTTAAGGAAATAGTCACTATGGTTGAGATGAAAGAAATGTTGACTTTTGTCTTCTGGAACTGCATATCTCATATACAGGTCATGAGATTTTGTCAGAGCTTCATCAATGAGCTGTATCGGTATTTGGGTCCTGACAAGGTATGAAATTGGGGTTGACACTAATTTTTGTAGTCTGACTCTGATCACAAGTGGTTATTGCTCATCCAAATATATCTTGTACAATAGGATCTTCCTTCAGAGGAGATGGGTGTTGGCACTCGTGAAATGGGCTATTTGTATGGACAATATCGAAGGCTGACCGGCCATTCTCAGGTAAACTTTGCGTCATTTATATAGGTTTTTAGCGTTGGTAAGTTTAATTTTCCCTTACTGTTTAGTCTGTTGCCTATCCAAAACAGATGTCTTTGTTTGCCTTGGTCATGAAATAATTTTCTTAGTATTTTCAAAATGAGTCTGTATATAATTCTAATTGCTTGACAATACTTGTTTTTCTTGTAATGTGGCAAGAATAGAAGAAGTCGTTGTAAGGTGATTCTGATGTTTCATCGTAACTTGATATTATTACTTTAATCTTCTAGTGTAAGGTCTCATATTTGTGGCTGCAGTAGTTTCGAACATACATACAGTCTGAAAGTTTACTCTGTTGAAGAGATTATCTGATCTTGTCCCTTTACCATGCAAATCTTTTAGCAAGGAAACTTGTGATGATTGGCTGTGGTTCTCATTAGTGTTCCCTAAGTACGCAGGGAAGTTTTACGGGGCCTAGAGTAAACTGGTCTGGATCCAGCCTTCGAACTGAAGCTACTGGCTATGGATTGGTAAAATTTATCCAATTATTTCTCACATCCTTTTATTTATTATTTTCTTATATTTATTTGTCCAGTTAGTTCTTTTCTTTGCTCGCTACAGGTATTCTTCGCCCAACTTATGCTTGCTGACATGAATAAAGAGCTGAAAGGACTAAGGTTCTTTACTTCACTGTCCATTTCAGATAATTTTTTAACACTATCTTTCGCTGCTTATCATGGCAAAAAATTCTCATCCCGACACATTTCACATTACGCCCAGATGTGCAGTTAGTGGTTCTGGAAAAATATCGATGCATGTCCTAGAGAAGCTTATTGCATATGGTGCAGTTCCTATTACAGTTTCAGGTATAAACGGCACGTATATGACAAACAAACTGCATATAATGCCAATACTATAATTCGTCTCTAAAGTGCTTTTCAAATATTTGTCCTATCGATAGAGAAATTTAGAGTGTCATTGTAGCTTCCCATTATGCTTCATTCTGCTATCTCCACTTGTTTGTGGTTAACAGATTCGAAGGGTTATTTGGTGGACGAGGATGGGTTTGATTTCATGAAAATTTCATTTTTACGAGACATTAAAGCTCAGAATAGAAGTTTGAGGTTCGTAACCACTCTTCTACCCACTTATAACATGGAGTCTGCATCGGCTTACACATATTGTTTACAGAGACTATTCAAAAACTTATGCTCGCTCCAAGTACTACGATGAAGCAAAGCCATGGGGTGAAAGGTGTGACGTTTCCTTTCCTTGTGCTTCCCAGAACGAGATCGATCAATCCGATGCCATCAATTTGGTAAACTCAGGTTGCCGGATACTTGTAGAGGGTAATATCCTACAATGTGCTTGATCAAAATGCTATTTTTCATAATTTTGTATTGTTTTTGTTTTGTTACGGCTTCTAACAAACTTTATAACATTTCAGGCTCAAATATGCCTTGTACGCCCGAAGCAATCGATGTTTTAAGAAAGGCTAATGTTCTTGTTGCTCCTTCTATGGCTGCCGGAGTGGGAGGGGTATGTCGATTCATTAAATCTTAACTAGCTCATTTTTTGACACCATTGAAATTTAATAGCTTGCTTCGTTGCGCTTTGGGATCTTTCACGTTATAAATGACCAAAACGACACCTTCTGCGCTATTTTCTTTGCAAAATATTGCGAAATTTTTTGTTGCTTTTGACAGGTAGTAGCTGGAGAACTAGAACTAAAAGAATGTAATTTGAATTGGTCTCCCGAAGATTTTGAGTCGAAACTACAGGTAAGGGCTTCTAATCTTAGTGGAAAGAACTATTATATAAGACGAGCTTGAGATCATTTTAAGTTTTGGAACACCTTACAGCATTGATTCTTGCAATACAGTAGATTCGATTGTCGTTTTACATAACATACGATTTAAATCTCCAGGAAGCAATGAAGCAAACATATCAAAGAGCACTAAAAGCAGCGGCAGATTTTGGGTACCCGAAAGAGAGTCCCGAGTAAGCTGTTTTTCTCATACACGCATTCATGTTAGAGATCAACGAATCCATTCAGTACAGGGTTGTCTTTGTACTGAATCTTGTGTCAGTTTATTTGAATCTTTTACTGAGTAATTCAATAGTTTCAAGAGAGATTTTGAATAAATTGCAGGTCATTGGTGCATGGTTCTGTTATCTCGGCTTTTCTGACGATCGCAAGCAGTATGGCCGATCAAGGGTGTGTGTAAGTCTTGACTAAATTAAGCTATGAACTGTAAGACATTCTTTCAATCAAGTATTTGTAAAACCGGTGAGAACCGATACAGTTCTTTCAATTTTCTATCGAATATTGAGCATAGGTTGGAGCCTTGGATTGTATAGGTAGCAAAGAAAGATTGTATATTCTCTTGTATCTCCTATTTAAAATGTAGATGGTAAGTGATTATGTGGGTTCCTTCTTTTGTCCATTTTTTATTTTAAAGAAAATTGAAATATTAGAATGATTGTAAAATTTTACAAAGTAGATTTACAATTTTTTCTACCAAATATTATATTTAAAAAAATTCAAATCAAAACCAAACAAATCAAAAATTCAACGTAACACGTGTAAACATATACAATACAAATACGAAAATTGTGACACTACACACATATATAATAGAAACAATATGTATAGACCATTTAAGTTACTGCCCTTGTTCAATAATAAAGATACTATCGTCCCAAACCAAAATTACTATTTATAATTTAATAATTGTACTATCTACCACTATAAATATCTTTAAAACTTGCAATTCATTACGAAAATATTATTACTTTTCTGTTACAAACTAATATAATACTAAGTAAATGGTACTTTTTATATGGGACTCCGAGGTAGTATATTTTATGCCCTGATCTGTGGTACTGATTATCCCTAATCAGGACCCTATCGATTCCAATGAATCAAACACTATCTACATTACTATAATGACTGAAACATCTAAATGCTGGTGAAATTTGATCATATAAATTCATACTCCTAAAACAATGAATCCAGTCGAGCTGTAAAAGCATTGTATCCTTAGGCCATGTTAGAATCTACCATATAATGAATCATGCTTTCAACGGTAACTAAGTAATACCATAAGAGGTACACGAAGATCATACAAGGGAACAAAGAAGAGCATGCAAAACAACTACTCACTCCAATTTGCCAAGAGATCATAGCATAGGAGGAGGATCAGACCAACAAGTTAAGAAATCACACCCAAGAAAATCGAAGAATGTGATATAAATATAATGTAAAGTGCTGCTTTTCCATATTTTGTAACATTACAAATTAATTTTAAAACCAAGTGAACATGATGCACAAATACAAGAATCTGACATGAATCATGACAATGGGAACACAAAAACCCTCTTCATACAAGATAGCTACTACATATTGCATTATGTGTCCTTCAAAACCACCACCCCACAAAGAAATACTGCCGGAAACCCGGGTGTGTTTGTTCTTGATTTCAAATAAAAAACACTATAGTTAACACCGGATAGTTTTCAATAAAAATATATTATTTAATCTAAAAAAATATCATATAAAGAATACTATTTAAATCAAAACCAAACAAACTAATACAACTCAAGAATAATATTCTCTCAAATATTCAAACTAACAAAGAAGCTCCAAGATCATAAAACATGCATATATAGCAAAACCAAACACCATATAAACATCATCAAGACATGTCAAAGTGTCGAGAACAAATAGATAAACCAAAATCAAATCCAAACCCCATCAAAGAAGAGCTTAATGAAAGCGAGAAAGCAAATTTATACACAGCATATTCCAGAATTTAAAGAAATTGAGAGGTTTACTCTACAAGACACAAATAACATAAATAAGGAGTAGTAATTCCGTGCCATATATAGAATAATAGCTTAGGTACCAATATGATTGATTCTTCAGATGTTCAATTCACCCACGCGCCTTGAGCTCTGCAAGACGCCTGGAGAGATCGTCTTCATCGACCGTTTCACTGTTTTTGGTCTGGACTGCGTGCGCCGCCGGCTGCGGAAGCCCGACGGAAACCTCGAGGCCGTAATCATCGGCCACTTGCTGCATCAGGCTGTTGACCTCTCCCTCAGGTGTGGACAGCGACGTGCTCCCCGCCATGGAACTCTCCATAAACTCCGCCTGCACTTCCATGTTCACGAACTGCTTCTCGAACTGGTCCATCGTCTCCGACATCTTCTGAAGGTTCCCCGTGGTGAGCGACGACTCCAGCGATTTGACGATGTTCCCCATCGATTTGCTGATCACGTTCATCTTCGCCTGCGTGTCGAGGCGCGCGACGACGGCGTCGAGCCGCGACGCCAGACGGAGGTAGTTCATCTGCTCGTTGCGCTTCCGGATGGAATTCTCGGCGTAGATCCGCGCTCCGTCCATGTTTCCTTTCTCAATCGCTTTCTTCACCTTCAATTTCTCCGCCTTCTCCTCCTTCTCGCACTTCCGCGCCTGCCGCTGCAGGCTCTTCGATGTGAATTTCAGATCCATGATCTGCTGCATCAGCTTCTCCGTGTTCCCCATGTCTGTCTACTTTTTCGGAACGAGATTTCGCACAATTTTCCGATGGAATTTGGGGAAGACGACGGTGTTCTTATTGTTCAACCAGAAATCGCAATTAGGGTTCCCTTTCTACGAAATATCCTGACCGTTTGGAGTTGTGATCTGCTGTACGCGGGTTCACCAAACAAGCCCAATTGGTAGCCTTTGTTTATATACGTCGGGCATAGACGGGCCGGGTTCTTCTATGTGATTGGATGCCAATAATAGAATGCGCGAACGCTTTTGAATGTTGCTTAACGACGACGTTTCTTGGTAGCGTTCTGTTTGACTGACAAAATCTGAAAAGCGTTTTTACTGAGACTAAAATTGATAACATTTTTATATTGGGATCATTATATTGGAATCAAAATTAATTTTTTCTCTAAATTTTGTATAAACTTAGCGTGTTTACTTCTACCATTTTTGTTTTGGTTTTAATATTTTATTATTATTATTGTTTATATATTTATATAATATGAAACAATTATTTTAATTTAGAATTTTATTATTTAAAATCAAAATAATCGAGTTGACGAGGCATCGAAATACCGTTCTTTGTCTGAATATGGATATTTCTATTTTTCTGTTCCTATTCATACGTACCAAGCACCACCTAAGTTTTTCAGATCAATTCTATATGCATTAATATTCATATTATCGACTTATTTCACTTTACTTTTATTTTTCCTGATAAGAATTATAATCTTTCCTGATATAAGAGCAAACAAATTCATAAATTTTTTTTTTTTTTTTTGCTTTTTGTAAAAATAAATAATTCAGGTACACACAAGTTCAAACTTCTTGGAAGCCCCAACTGCAATTTCAACCGAATGGAAATTTGCAAGAACTTTGGGGCTCTCTAAAGAACATAGAAGCAAAAAACAGATAAAACAACAACATATTATGAATTTCTAATTTTCCGACAGCCGGTCGACCTAAGAAGCTTGTCGATTCCTCTTCTTGACACCTGACTTGGCAACCTTGAGACTTCGGTTTACAACACTGAGTCTTGCAAGTGCGGCCTTCTTCAGGTCAGGCCGGTAATAGTTATCAGCAACCTGCCCCATTTGAAAGTCATTACTGGAATCAAAATCATCGTCCGAGAAACAGAAACACAGGCAAGAAACGACTGACTATGAATTCACAACCCCTAATTTGAAAATGTACATTCCATTTGATCAAGGGGTAGGGATATATATCTCAAAGAATAGTGGGTCATGTGGCTAAGTTTATTTTGGTGTTGTGCTGTTATAAAAAGCTTTAATATTATAATACATATTCAACCATATCGTAGTCGTATCAAATATGCTGAACTGCATTACTCTAAGTCTCTAACACACATCCAAATTTATCTAAAAGATTCCTTATAGACTTTATGAAGGATCGAACAACAGGCTTTCAATAGCTAATGTGGTAGTTTGTTGCACAGCAAGGAATAATACAATTCATAAGAAAAAATGGGATAAGATAGTTGCCTGGTTAGAAACAGCCTTCGCCATACGGTTGAATTCTTTCTTCAAGATAGATTTGTGTAGCAAACTGGAGGGCTTATTCTGTTTCTTGGTCTTAGAAGTTGCCAGCAGCACCGTCTGATCCTTTCCCGGTGCAATTGTCACTGTTTTCTTGTTTGCCAATCCTGTTAATTAATTACAGCCCATGTGGAAGAACCATGAACAGATATTTAAAATGCTTAACAAGAAGTATTCCTCATAATGTTTGAACATCAAATTCAATTGAAATACTCATCTCCTAATCATGTTTGAAGATCAAATATCATTGAACAATAAGACATGCTTATATCACAAATTGTAGCTGCAACATCCACATGAGTAAACAAATTTGTAATGAGAAGCGAATTCCAATTCCAAAACACATTCAAATTGGTTTCAAAAGTTCATTACAGCATAATCTACAGCATATAACAGCTCTGAACTTTTATGTACCACACACACAGACACACAAAGGCAGAAAACCACTAAAATGAAGAGAATCTAGAATTATAAAAACCCACCGGAGTGCTTGTAGGAGTGCAAGTTGTAGAGATTGTTGGGCTCCCTGCTGAACTTAACACTGGCGGTTCCATTCCCGAACTCCTTCACCAGAAATGAATTGTTCTTCTTGACGATCTCCCATATCAGCTGTCCAGGAACCGTCGCCATTACTTGCACCAAAGAAATCCCAAATTACACAGCATAACAAACCATACTATTAAACCTACGGAAACGAACACACACCAATTACATCAGCGAATCAATCGAGAGAGTTACCTTGGAAAGAGGACAACGAATTCCGACCCTAGGGTTTCGCTGCCAGGCGGCTAATTGAACAAGGAGGCAGAATTTTTCAGACAGTGGCACAACATTTAAACCCTAGAAATGTTAAATGACGAAAATACCCTTTTGTCTGTTTCCCGCAGTTCCTACCGATTTTCTTATATTTACACAGGTTTCGTCTCCGCTCTGATGTTCTTCCATTTTTGACCATAGAAGCAAAATAATCCCAGGCAAAGAGAGACCTTTATGTAAGCAAATACTCCATTTCTGCATTGTTGATGGCAGTATTCTCTCAACATTTACAGAACAAAACTTTATAAATAGTTAGGAGGAGAAGGAACTAGCCATTCGAAGAGATCATGGGTCGTCCCAAAAGGGCTTTCTTGATTTTCATTTTGGTCGTGTTTTCAAGCAGACCTATTTCCTCAGACTCGATCTGGACCACGGAAGAGCCATCTGAGATTCCCACAAGTTTCCTGAATTTCGCCAAGAAGCCTGAGGTCTTTGATTGGATGGTGGGTGTTAGGAGGAGGATTCATGAGAACCCTGAACTAGGGTATGAAGAATTCGAAACTTCTAAGCTCATTAGACAGGAATTGGAGAAGATGGGAATTGAGTATAAGCACCCTGTTGCTGGTACTGGAATTGTTGCCTTCACTGGTTCAGGGAAACCTCCCTTTGTTGCTCTAAGAGCTGACATGGATGCACTTGCCTTACAGGTATACATATATTGATGAATACTTTCTTATTACTGTGATCATATTGGGACTGTGATTAACAATGTAAAGAAATGCTTTGTAGTTATTTAGGTTGTGTTTGTTTGGGGATTGGATTTTGAGTTGGGATTTGAACAGTAAAAGTTTTGAATTTGAATAGTTGTATGATCGTGATATAAATAGGTGTTATGTGATGTTTTGAATGTAAAATTGATTTTTAGTATAATATAAAAAATAAAAAATATGTGTTTGATTTGATATTTTTGGGGGGAAAATTTTGGAGGAATAATAGAATTTTGATAAAATCCTACAACCGAACAAAATTTTAGATCTAGATTTTGCCAAGTTCTTGTGTTCTTGACTAGGAATTGGTTGAGTGGGAGCATAAGAGCAAGAACCCTGGAAAAATGCACGCTTGTGGCCATGATGCACACGTTGCAATGCTTCTTGGAGCTGCAAGAATTCTCCGGGATCATCGCAGCTTTCTGAAGGTCCATCTTGTTTGATCGACATTTGCCAGTGTTCTTGGTTGCAGATTGTATTGTATGGTATAACTCTGTGTGAAATCTGCCTGATTGAAGCAGGGCACAGTTGTTCTTGTTTTCCAGCCGGCAGAGGAAGGCGGTGGAGGGGCGTCGAAGATGATTGAAGCCGGAGTTCTTGATAATGTCGAAGCCATATTTGCTCTCCATTTACATCCTGTCGCATCGGTTGGGCAGGTTGAAGGCAGAGCTGGCCCGATCGCTGCAGGTGCCGGTTCGTTCGAAGCTGAAATAAGCGGGAAAGGAGGGCATGCGGCAATTCCTCAGCAATCGATCGACCCGATTTTAGCTGCTTCGAATGTAATCGTCAGCTTGCAGCAGCTGGTTTCCCGGGAATCCGATCCTCTCGACTCCACGGTAACTCAAATCGGAAATGACGTAGGTAGGATTGTTTGTTTGTTTGATATTTGGATCGGAATACATTCAAACAGGTGCTGATGGTCGCTAAATTCCGAGGGGGCGGTGCGTTCAATGTGATTCCAGATTCGGTGTCAATCGGCGGCACATTTCGCGCCTTCGCAACGCAAACGTTGTTGCACCTCAAGCAGCGAATCGAGGAGGTAACAAAGTTATAAAATGAGTCGACGATAACGTTGTTTTCTTAGTCTCCTCAGAACTTGTAACGATTCGCAGGTCATCGTGGGACAAGCAGCCGTCCAAAGATGCAACGCGACCGTTACGTTCAACTCAGGCGAAAAGCCAATGTGGCCTCCCACAGTGAACGACGAGAAGCTCCACAAACTCTTCGAGAATGTCGCGGGGGACATGCTCGGCGCCCACAGCGTCAAAACCGCACACCCAGTTATGGGAGCGGAGGATTTCTCGTTTTACCAGGAACAGAAGCCGGGATATTACTTCTTCCTCGGAACGAAGGATGAAACGGCGGAAGATCCCGCATCGTTACACTCGCCGTATCTGAAGATCGACGAAAACGCACTTCCCGTCGGTGCTGCGCTGCACGCGTCACTCGCAGTTCGGTATCTTCTCGAAAATTCCCCGGCAGCAACACCTTATAAAGAACCCGAGCACAACGAGCTATGACCACGGAACCATTACAATAAGAGTCGAGAGATCGAAGGCTCTTCGGTTAAGTTAAAAACTCTTCGTTCTATCGATCGATCTATATATATATATATGAATCTGTTCAGCATTCTATGCCTATGTTGACAGAAAAGAATAAGAAATGTTGATCTCTCAAAACCCGAGAAAATCGAACGAGTGTTCGAGCAGCTGATCGAGGGCGCCGGGGGCGAACTTTCTGGCGAAAAGGTAACATAGCTTCGTCGAATCATTGTTATAGGTGCACGGTTCGCCGTCGAGAATCCTTTTAAAGAAATTATCCGTTATGTCGCGCTTTCCGAATGTGGCGGGGTGGGCTCCCCCCCTCGACCAGTCGACCCAGGTGAGGCTCCTGTTGGCGAGTAGATGAGGGGTTTGTATCGTCAGCATAGTCGGGAAGTAATGCTCGTCGACATAGCACGCGGGTCTACAGAATTGCTCGAACTTGGGGTAATATACGGTGTCCTTAACAATGTTGACGGCTAGTTTCCGGTTCACTTCGAACCATTGCGACCCTTTGCGCCAATCGGTGAGATTGACCTCCGGCGTCATGTTTTCGTCGTATCGACCTCTCCCGTAAGGGCCGGGATCGTCGTACGAGCCCATGAAGCTGAGCCACGATCTCGAGACATATTGGTAGACGGTATCGAAGTTTTGGACGGGAATGCAGGCCTCGGAGACGAGAACGAACCACTCGTTCGATATGTCGAGCAGCGCGTTCGCAAGAAGTCGCCGTTCCGCGTCGCACATGCTCATCTTTCCCCACTCGACGACCTGCGATTCAACAACGAAACTTCATAGCGAAACCGAGACGCATCGATATAGCTCGGTCGATAGATCGATACCTGGTTTGGAACTTGCCTCCCGTAAAACACGGACGACAATGCGAAATCCGGACGGTAATAAGATGGCGACGAGTGAACGTAGATCGAATAAAGCTTCTCATTCCCACGGAAGAACTTCTCCCAAAGCGGAGACATCGGCAACGGCCCTCTCGTCAAGAACATGAATGCGATCTTCGGGATTCGCTCGAACGGGTAATGTCGAATTACGGGCACGTGTGAAGCGCGCCAAAAGAGCTCGGTATCGTTCATTTCATGCAGAAGGTTCGACGGAGGCTTTATCCAGGTGGCGAGGGTTGTCGATTCTTGAACGCACGGCTGCAATAACATCGACTGGAAAACGGTCCCGGGGATCGACAGGCTGCGGCTGAGGTACAAACTGAGGAACGAAAATGCAATGCCAAGCCCCAGCAGAAGCAGGATGAACTGAAGCAGCCTTACAGGAACAGGCCTGGTGGATTGATTTAGTGTTCTGACATTAATGGCTTCTTTTCCTTCCTCCAATGATCCAAAACTCCCTCCTCTTGTTTGCATCCTTAAGATTATCGATCCAATTCGCAAGAACAAATGGGAAGTTTCTCCCTTCTCTGCGAAACCCTAAACCCCAAATGTCCTCAGCATTCTCCAGCATGAACAAATTTCTGCAACACAATCAAACAACCACAGCAGCAAAGATCAGGAGGAATCTGAAATAGATAAAACAGAGATTTCTAATGGGATTGATTACCTTTAGACTCAAATTTTCTGCAAAATTGGGGAAACAAAACACACACAAATACATATATATATATATATATTATTGTATATATCAGGAGAAGAGCAGAATTGGGATAAAATGGAATCCAGCGAATGGGGGAGGGATCATATTTATGAATCTGTCAAGAAACGAGCAATGCGTTTAGGGATTTTTGGGGAGATGTAACTGAAATTTTTTTTTAGGGTTCTTTCTTTCCCCTTTCTCACACTCTTTTTGGGTTTCGATTAATTTTGGCCAAACAGCGGTCGGAACCCAGGAAAAAATGCAGCGCTCATGACGTGGTTATACGATGGGATTGGAATTGGATGTGGATTGGAGATTCATACTCGTTCTTACATTGGCAGGTAAGAGAGCATTATGAGTAGAGGTTTCGAGAGCATGGAGGAAGAGAACCTGCGATGTCTTCGTCTTTTGTATCGATATTGTTCTGTAGGTGATGGGAGTGGGTTTTTTGTTGGGAGATCCTGGATTTGGAGTCCTGCATGAATCCCGGCCATTGAGCGATGTGGATGGATCTGTTTGAGGAGCTCAAAGTCTCCAAGAATTGGTGGGACTGCTGATATGGGCAAGATGAATCACAAAAATTATTAGCGATGACCGAAGAAACCATTTGCGTAATACTATTAATTATTATATCAAAATATAGTATAAATTAAAAAAATAAATACAAAAATTATTTCAATTAGAGTCTTATAATACTAATAGAAATACTAATAAAAGAATATTTATAAAAAAAATTATACACATAAAAATATTTTTAATTTTAATTCAAAATTTATTAATCCTAGAAAGTTTAATTTGATCTATTCTTTTAATCTCATCTCAAAAAGTTTTGAATTTAATTAGAGATTATGGCTTAAGATGTGGACATTAAATAATTAATGGTTTAAGTAAATGATGTATGTGGACGAAGTCGATAGGTCTAAGAATGTTTACTAAAGCATTAAAGCTGGAAAGATAGATATGATTCAAAAAATTATTGCATGCATTGGGAAAAGCGTGATGCATAAATTACATATACAATGAAATTTGTTGGCCGCTGCTGCAACAAAAATGATTCACCCAAATAGAAATTTATAGAAGTTGTTGAATTTTGAATTTGAAGAAATTTGAATAATTGAATTTAAAGAGAAGTAAATATTAAATAGCAGTAGTACATATTAAATTGAAAACCAGATCTTTATAGTATGAAATGCATGCCATACCATAAATGCAGAATTCATCCATCACTAGATTCATGATATATGAGAGGCACATAATTTGGCTTTCTTTACATGTAAATTTAAAATTGGTAACTTTTTTTTTTAAAAAAAGGAATATTATATCAAATCATTTTTTCCTCGCACAAAAAAATCACAAGAAATACTTAATTATTTTTAAATTTTTTCTAAATTCTAGAACTTCCAAAACTTCAATATAAACAGAGGACAAGTAAAATAAAATAAAAAAATGCAGCCCCTCTTAAATCATCTGCAAATTGAAAGTCTAAAGAAGTAGAAAGAATTAAATCAGGCAGATGGGGTTAGCCACCAAGATGCTCTACTTAGAACCAAACCTTCAAAAAATAAAAAATAAAAATGGAATCACGAAAGTCACAAATATTCATATATTAACTCCCAGCATCAAAGTAAATAATCTAAAGAAATCAACAAGTTCATAAGACAAAAGGATGATGCTTTTAAGTCTTACCTCTCGTTTTTTTGTAGAAATGCCCTTGCAGTCGTGTCGATCAGCTACTATCGGCGCTCGATGTCAAGAAATCTTTGTCGAATCTTGCATCTGCTGCTCTGCAATCTCAGCCAGTGTTTCAATTCAATCTTGTTGAGTCAGCGTAGCTCCAAGAGGCAAACACATTCGATGTGAGGAGTGTGTGGGAACATATCGACTGGTTGTATGCTTTTCAGTTCGTAACACCCTCTGATGTTCTGCTCCGGCTGCATTTTACACATTTTATCAGTGCCAGCAGATGGGATTATGAAGCTCTGGATGGCAGACTGAAACTTACCACGTCATGGCAAAGATAGTCGAGATCACGGGCACAAGTAGCAGGATTGCACGATACATACACAATGCGGCGTGCTTTCAGTTTCAGTAAAAACTTTATTAGTTTCATGTGCATTCCGGGGCGATTTGGGTCTGCATCAACGAAATGGATACCAATTAGTACAGTAAAGTCTCAAAAATCGAGTCTCTTAAGAAATAATTGAACAGAGGAAGATTGGATTAAACAGAGGTTAACCTGTGATAACAAGATCCGGCTTTGGAAAATTTTCTCCAAAACTATCACCAATTTTGTTAAGATCCCCCTGGAGGAATGTTGCATTGGATATGCTGTTGAGTTCTGCATTACGACGAGCATCTGATATGGCTTGATCAACTATCTCAAAACCATAGATATGTCTTGCCCTAGATCATAAAATAAACATTAGGACAAATTAGAACCAGCAGGAAAATGCATCGAATGAAATTATGGAGAACTTTGGGGAAAATTACCTTTTGGCAAGTGTCAGGCCAATCGTGCCCGTTCCACAAAAGAGATCTAGAACTATTTCAGAGGCATCTCCTTTTAGACAAGCACAGTCCTCTATTAGTTTATACAGGATCTCTGCCTGCATGGAGCAACTACTTACAGGTGACATCAAATGCTATCAAACGAGAAAATGTAAAGAACAATGCGACCTAGAGATATCCTTTTGGCTCAGATGAATAATAGCTTCTTAACATGCAGCGTATAACAGATAAAAGGAATATAGAATTAGGAATAACATTGAGTGATATTCATGTTTGTTGTATACCTGATGTGTATTTGTTTGGAAGAATGAGTTGGCTGAGATTTGAAACTTTAGTCCTCTAAGGCTATCCATAATTGTTGATTTACCAAAGAGTGTATACTCCTGCTCCCCGACAGATGTGTTTCCCACGGAAGTATTTACATTGTTCATGATGCTCACCTATGTTCAGGAATTAGTAATAAATAACCATTACATATGTACATATTTTGATGGAGCTAAAATAACCCATAACTTGCAAAAATAAGTAAAGGAAGCTTAGGCATGGTGCTTAAAGTCAATATTTCCCACTCCATCAAGTGACTACACATTAGAATTTCACCACGAAATACAAATATTTAAAACCACTCAAGATGCTATTCACATTGATGGAGTCACATGCATGTGGTCAGAAGAAAATACTTAAGTTCTAAATTTTACATAACCGATGTACGTTATGAATATTGTCATATTGTAGGGAATTAGCTCGTAGGGGAAATTTCAACACTCACCCAGCCAGGTAGGAAACTTAAAATATTATTATTCAACTACTCACCACATTAGGAAAAGCTGCAGCCTTCTCAACTAGGGGCTGCAAGAGTTCCGGTTTGTATGATGAAGTGACAAAATTAATCATCAGTTCTGGCTGACCAATCTCAATATTCCTGAAACAAATATATTAAAAGATTCAACATTGATCATGTAGCTAGCTGTACTTCAAATTTGAATAACCATCACTAGGAACAGGTGAAGATAAGTGTCAAGAAGTATTTAACAAAATATATTTTCCAGGCGCCATATCAAAGCCAGAAAACAAGTAAATGTACAGTCCCCAGTGATTAACTAAGCTCCAAAACTTCTAAAAACCTTGATTAAGGTAGAACGAAAACAAAACATTTAGAAATATTTACTTCATTACTGTAACAAATAGCAAGCACATTTCAATTTCTGTCTTTCTTTTCTAGTTAGCAGCATTCATTCAAACTATAAACTTTCTTTCCTTTCCTTTCTGATGATGTACAAACACATGGTTTGTTTCTAGATAGTACTCATTGGAAGTTTTCACACAGTAGCTGTGTAGCTTCCAAGAGATGTTCTGTGATTGTGATATATATGGCTTTAAGATGCTAGATCAAGCATAATAAAGCACATCTTAAAGAAAGGAATAATTAGCAATCTCGCTTAAGAGTCCAAACATATAAAAGGAGTCCACTTAAAGGCTTGTTTATAAATTACAGATTGGAAATGCAAGTACATTAAGCAAGAACTATCACATATCATAGAAAACAAAACATGTGCCTACCTGCCAGTTCTAAGCATTAAATGCTTTAAAAACCCACGATGGGAGTGCACATCATATGGAGTAAGGCCAAGTTCATGATCTCGCCAGAAGTCTTGAATAGCTGCAAGGACCTATAAATCAGAGAGAGTCTTTATTTGCAAAGATGTAAATCTATTTGAAAGATGGCATGCCCATGCTTATTAGCTTGAAAACTAAACATATCTTGGTACAAGAAGAATTCTTAGTAAAAACTGGTTGTGTTTGCATGGCCAACTATTTGCCAAAAGAGGATGGCACACTGAAAAGATAACCGACATGAGATATTCCAATAGTAGTTTCATGTTTCAAGTTTTATTGAATGCTGGAAAGAGCTGATGCAATCTAAAGCAAAGAAGTGATCAATGATGAATTAACTCTATCCAATTTAATTTGATCAAGAGATGTGGATTTGGAATAATCTATACTTCACAACAAGGAGTGCAAAATGAAAAGATAACCAACATGATATATCCCATATTCTATCATACTTCCATCATTCATGTTGCAAAGTGTATTCAATGCCTGGAAGCACTTGATACTATCTAAATCTGCAAGTGATTAATGATACACTAATTTTATTCAATACAATTTGGTTAAGAGAATGTAGTTTTGTGCAATTTATGCTTCTCATGGATGCAAGACAATAGAAAATAATTCTCGTGCCAGTACTTGATGTTCACACTAGAACATTAACAGATACAAATAATGAATAAATAAACAAACAAATGATCAGCATGAAATGAAAATCATTAACCACCATACCTTGTTTGCTGGATCACTTTGTAATAGGCAATTATTGATATTAAGAACCTTGTCAAAAAATCCAGGGGCATGCAATCCCAGTGCATATTCTTCGGTCTCATCACATTCTTGTTGCAAAAGTTCTGCAGGTACCCACTTTTTGGTGCTAAATGAGAACTCCATCTATATAGAAGCAGAAACGAACTTAAAATGTTAATCTCCTGTATAAGAAACTTTTATCTCCCTTTATTACATGCATCTTATCCAGGCAACCTTGGATAATCCATGTCATTGAGCAATGAAGAAAGATAATACACTATGACAGTGTACACCAAATTGGAATCTCTCTTTACATTAATGACTAAACCATATTATCAAGAAATTCATAATTATATATCAGTTCTGAAGTACAAAGCTTTACCCCAAGAACTAAGAAAAATTATATTGCCTGTGCAAACTATTCATGGCTAGCAAATACATTGCACAACAAATATTTAACACCAAAATACAACACTAATGCCACTAGATAAGTACAAAATAAATTGAAAATCAATCAATGTAACACAAGCTGACCTTGTTTCGGTAATGAAACTGGATATCACAAGGAACAATGGGCTTCAAGACTCCTTCACGTTTGAGGTCATTATCCGAAAACCTGCCAACATGTGTAATTAACTCGTACACCTGTTGCTCCTTAGCTCTAATCTGAGCTCCATACAACAAGTTCTGTGTTTTACAACCCCCACAATGCGATGCAAATTCACAAGGTGCTTCGACATAATCCCAATGTGGAGTTATGGTCTTCAGCTTCTTCACCTGCACCATTATGGAATATACACTAAATCAATAACTGAAACCACTCAAAGCATATAATATTTCCCTAAAAACATATACTTACTCAACCATTATATTCACTACAAAAGCTATACAATGCTCAAAGTTCACACCGTATTTCACCAAATAATTTGAAACCTTGTGATACACAATGTTTTTTTTCCAACAGAACGTTAATATAATGAATTTAATAAGATAATGTAACAAGTGCGTAAAGGCAACAGATACAACCTCTGCATAGTTATCCTTCTTACGAGTTACACGACCCACGAACCTTTCTCCCGGCAACGCGCGGTCGCACATAACGACGAAGCCGGTGTCAGCTACCTTGCACAATCCCTTTCCTTTGTATGCTAAGCTCTCGCAGACTAGCTCCAGTGTCTGACCACGCTTCGGGTAGTATGACACCACGTTCTTATCCGTTTTTGTGCTGATAGGAGGTTTAGGAACCGCAGATGTAGTTGCGATTTCTTCTTCCGGATGTTGGATTGGTGAGGTCGCCGAAAGTACAGAAAATTTCCTCGGTCGCCGGAGGTCCCGCAGCCAAGGGTGAGGCCGAAAGAGGCGGGCGCCGGTCGCCGGAGCAGCCGCCATCATTTGGGATTCGCTGAGAAAAATTGAAAACCGAAAACGGATTAATGTTTCCGATATTGAGCTAATTGACAAAATTACCCCAAATTAATTTGCTTATATTTTTACTTGGATTTTTTAATTATTATTTTTAATTAGTGAAATGGTATAACATTTTTATCAGTTGATTTAACATATGAAATAATTTTATACGATAATTTAAATAAATATTTTTAATATTAATATATAATTATTTTTACTAAAATAGTAAATATATACTTTAAAATAGACAAAAAAAAAAAATAATAAAAGACGTACTTCAATTTGGGACAAGAATATTGCTTTCTAACATGTAAAATTAGTTCTTATGGATCCTGTTACAATATTAATAAAAATAAATATTTTATCAATATGATAAAATGTAATTGTCCTATTTTTTAATTTTTAACTAAAATAAAAAACGAATGACAAAATAAAATATAATAATAAAAAAATTAATATTTTCATCATAAAACAATAAATTTTTTTATTTTATCACTATAGTTTGTATAAGTTAAATTTTTTTATATTTTTAAAAAAATAACTATCAACTAAATATCAATGGAGTGCTTGTTTTGTACTTTCGTTTAAAAATATGTTGTTTGATGGAAGGGTACATCAAATTGTGCATATGAAATACAAAAATAAAAGGTATATAAAATTGTATATATAATATAAAAATAATAAATATATATATAGTTGTTGGACATGGGTTCAAAAACGCTGAGAATGAGGCTTAAAGACAAAATGGTGCCAGAGCTTATTGGCTACGGAGCCGCTCAACAGCAACAGCAATGGAGTTTCAAGCTTCGGAGCCAAAGATTGCTGCTTCCACGGAACCGAAGGCAACAGTTTTTATTGAATTGTGGTGCTTCCACAGGCCGAAAGCAGCAGTCTCCATAGACTTTAGAGCAGCAACTCCTCGGACTATGGCGACTCCATCCCGGAATAATATTTCCATGAATAATATTTCCATAAGGTCAGAAAGTGTTGTCTCCATTGGATTGAAAACAACTACTTCCATCCATTGGACTACGGTGCTTCCACAAAGTAGAGGAAGGTTGCCTATATAAGATAGAAAGCAACCGCTTCCACAGATCATGGGATAACTACCTTCGTTGGCTCCGGGTTAATAATTTCGTACTTAACATTAGTGAAAGACCTATGCACTCTCATGTTTTATTCAAAAAGCTCCATGGAACAAACCAGCAAGAGGAAAACCGAAATTTTCATTTAACTCGAGGTTGTTGGGGATACATCTCCGTTGATCGGCTAGGAGTACGATGGAAACAAGTCGGAGTAAACAATATATCTGGTCTAGAGGCAATGGAAGAAGTTCAGAGCAAGTGGAACCCGGTCCAGAGGCGATGGAAGCGGCTAGGAGCTGATGGATGGAAGGAGATTACCAGATGGTTAGGAGCTTATAGAATGAGGTTACCAGGGAGCTGATGGAAGGGGGTTACGAGGTGGTTAGGAGGTAATGGAAGGAGGTGACCAGGAAGTTGGAGGTAGTAGTGGGAGGTTACCAAATAGTTGAGAGTGGTGGAGGAATAATTGTAACCGCCCCTTTAGTGGAAGAGGTGGTTATTCTAGCTTAGCAATAAAGTTAGGGAAAAAAACACAACACACGCACGACAAAACAATTCGTCTATTTTCCTACTTTTCTTTCATGTTTTATTTTCGTTTTATGTATTTTAATTCGAATTACATATTTTTATCCGCTTTTCAGTAGATTTATCCAAATTTTAGTAGATATTAGTTTAAATCCATCGAAATCGGTCGTTTAGGCTCGAAGCCTCGTGGACGATCAAAGCTGTGCAGGCTCCATCGTAAGAGCCGCCTCCAATCCGACGATGGACAGACTCTCTGGAGTACTTTCGGAACCTACACCGACAAATCGACGAATATTTTTGGAACCTCCGAATTTCAGGATCCAACAATAGTATATTCAATTTTTTTTTAAAAAAAAAAAAAAAAAAAAATTGTTTTTTTTTTTTTTTTGAAAATACCTAATTTTACATTTTTTTTTGGTTGAAAAAAGCTGGCAATGGTATATAATCTTTTTAAATATGTACATAATTTTGGATGTAGTTTTGTTTGTAAGTTTAAATTTTTTTTAAGTAAAAATAATTTAATATTTAATATAGTATTTAAAATAAACATAAAATTTATATATTGTTTTTTAATTATTATTATTATATAAAATATATTAATACCAAGTGTGGTGAGCCCAGTCACCTAGAGGGGTCAATACGCAAGGCCTGGGTACACGTTCTGTAGAATAACTTGGGCCGACTATAATCTTCTGTAGTATACTTCATTTTTGTTGTCACTTTGGTAGAAAATAATAATAATAATAATCATAATCTAAAAAACATTAAATAAATTGAATTTAAACAATTCACGTGGTTATTGAAGGACCTAAGGCTATAAACTGTTTACAAACTTGAATAGTTGAATATATATATATATATATCTTATTTTACTTTGCTAATGAGACTAAATTAGCTATAAGATTTGTATAATATATTGCAAATTGTAAGGAAATTTATTATGTTAGGTAGATATATAATTACTAAATTAAGAAATGATAACAAAGTCAAAAATTAAAAATTATAAGAGAAAGTATATGACCAGCATTTTTGCTTGAAAATACCATTAATTATATTTCATATCTCGAATCTTCTGTTATTATTTTTTTACATTTTTTTTTTCCCTTTCATATATACTTTGAAATATTTTTAAAATTATATTCCACGTAATAAGTAGTTGACAATTGTAAAAGAATTGTACAACCTAAAAAAATCGCATCAAAACGAAGAAAGTACTGAAAAAAAAAAAAAGAAAAGGATCTTTCACCGTAGAGACTAATTTAAGAGAATTTAATCCTGCATATCTAAAAATAAATTAATTCATGTGCTTATTAATTTATCATCATATATGATCTAAAAAGACTAGCAATGTGTTTTAGACCTAATCCTTATTACACACATATATATAAATATATTACAAGAAACAAAATGGATGTGTTTCTTTTGATGGATTTGTGTAAATTTTAGTTAGATTTGACATTAAAATAATGTATGATAAAAAAATATACTTTCTCCGTCCCGTAACAAAGTATTCATTTTTTTATTTTAGTCCGTCCCATAACAAAGTATTCATTTTCTTTTTTAGTAATTGTATTATCTATCTAATATCACAAATATCCTTACAACTTACAATATATTACATAAATATCATTACCTTTATATCACATATACTAATAAGATTATTTTAGTCATTTCTACTTTATTCATACTACATCCTAATATAATACTAATAATTCTAAAATTACGTGCAAAAAGCAAATTGATATCTAATTATTGGACGGAGGGAGTAATATTTTTAAAAAATACGAAATTTAAATAGTAAAAATTTAGAATTTTGAGTAAAAGAAACGGACCCAATTCAGTGTCCATTATGGGGATAACGGTCTAAACATTATATTTCGCCGTGTTGGGCGTTATTAATGAGCGCATTGATTCGTTGTTGGTATATGCATATATATATATATATATATATATCGCGATGGAGGTCGATGTCATGCATGCAGATAGATGAAGTGCAGCTTTGAAATAATCCAGCTTGGGAGTGAGTTCTAGAAAATGCTGTAGGATTGAGACATCCCTTAATTTGTCTTGCTGGGGACACCAATACATACATATATATATATATTTGTATGTATATGTGACGAAGCCATTGAATATGACAAAATTTAAAATTCTCAATGCATGAATGTGAAGTTATGATTTTTATATACATATATATGTTTTTATTGCTACTGCTGTCGGATAAGTGACACGCATCCTTAATTGTTCTATGTTACAATGAAATTGAAATTTTCATTTAAGGCTTTGTTTACATTTTTAAGTTTTGGATTTTAACCTTATTTATCAACTATAATTTATTTTTATTTTTAAAAAAAATGTATTAAATATTTAATTTATTATATATATATATATATATATATTCATTTTTCAAAACTTAAAATTTTTTTTATTGAAACCATATCCAAAATCCATGATTATGTTTCTCAGTAAAATTAATGATATATATATTTTTTCGATAAGATAAATATTATTGAAAATAAAGGATGTGTTTGGTTTTTTTTTTTATGTACTCCCGCCGTCTCAAACACTGTGCAACATTTGTGTTTAGCACGATAATTTAGGTGGGAAGTATTAAGGGGTTGTTTGGCAAATAACTTTTTGAAGAGCTTTTAGCTTATTGAACAACTTTTAGTTGTTTAACCAGTCAAAAAACTAATTTAGGTGTTTGGTAATTAGTTTTTTGGAATAGCTTTTTGGACCCAAAAAATTAATTTCTGAAAAGCTAACTTACCCAACGTTTTGAAAAAGTTTTTTCTTTAAAAAATTTATTATACATTTTACATTTTAATTCCTTAAATGCCCTTACGTTTTGAAATGCCCTTAAAAATTTATTATACATTTTACACAAATAAATATATTTTGATTATTTAATAATTATATTATAATATTTTATTATATCGTAGTTTTACTTTTATAAATTTAAAATAATTAATTTTTATATAAAAATTATTTTAATTGTAAAATATATAAATTTATTAAAATCAACATAAAATAAAAAATATAAATATTAATAATTTATTTTTTTATTAAAATTACATTATATAAATTTTATACTAAAAATAAATTAAATAAATTAAATTTATTGAAAATTATAAATATAATGAACTAATCGATAACTAACATAATAAATATATACACGCAAAATTTATTATTTTATATTTTACATCATTTTCAATAAAAAAAATATTTATATATTTTAATAAAAATATACTTATTATTTTTTAAATCTAACTGTAATAAAAATAAATACTTTTATAACACTTTTACAATTTTCAATAACTAATAACAAAAAAATTTAAATATTCTAAACTCAAAAAAAAACATAATTGAATATATTAGAAACAAAAATAAAATAGAAATGTCCTCAATTGTCATTTTACGT